TTATAGCTTTTGTTTAAGACATTAATGTTACTTATAGTTAATTTAAAATGAAGTATAGTTAATTTAAAAATGAAATTCGGTAAACTAATCTGGATTAAACGACCCTAACCCTTTGCTCTAAATGCCCCCCCCCCCCCCACTAAAAAAAAACCTTTAGGTTGCGTATAATTTTTTTCATGTTCCGGGAATATGATTCATTACGTTTGAGTGGTATTTAGAGGCAAGTTAATGCATTTTGTCACCAGGGGTCAGCTGTGCGGACCGTGCATCCGCTGAGTGGTCTGCAGGCCAAAAAAGTTTGAGGAACACTGCTCTAAAGTGAATTCTATTGATTCTAGATTTGAAGTTTCCGTGACTGTAAGGATTCACCTGAAAGACGCTTGTGTAGCGCCCGAAACGTCGTGATTTAATTTATTTTATTTTTTACCTTCGTGACCTACCGAAAAAACCAAAGAGTATGAATTCTATTGAAGTTGTTTCTTGGGTATAACTTATCAGGTCCTTATGTGATGAGGCTCTGAGGACAAGAGCCACCTATTAATGAAAATATTTCAAGAGTACACTGACATGGGTGGTTAATTACAACAATCATTATTTACATGAGGACAATAAATGATTCACTCCTTCACTCAGCTGTGCCTGACTCGAGGAAACTGGGCGGTAGTTTTCACGCGTTTGTGGAGAGTGGCATCACAGCAGTTCGTACACATTGTACTTCAATCACGAAACTCTTGGGGGTTCAGTTGCCAGCCAAGAATATCAGAATCAAAATGTTTATTTAACCTGGAGAAATCGGATGAGCTATGAAGCTCTTTTTCAACTGTCCAGTAAGGGGCGGATCAGAGAGTTACAACAATACAAAAAATTGTAGTAGTTCAAATTATTGGAAAGGTACGCAAATCACCAAAATAAATAAATCTGAAGTATATACGTTTAAATTTCATAAGTACACCTATATCCAAGCTTGAGCAATGTAGCTAAATAATAGCAAAAACAGTTCTCGACCACACGAGCACAACACAACCCCCCTCCACAAAATTGCACGTTCGTGCGGATGTGGTACTTAAAGCGGTCCTGGGATGACTTGCACATGCAATTGTGGAGCCCTTTTGTCAATCCACTGCTGGATAGTTCTCCCCCACGCACTGCAGGTCATTATTGCGTATACTTCATTTTTCCTTACAGGGCCTTAAATGCTTATCCGTGGCCGTTCGTTGTATTTTGTGTAAAAACGCCTTTCACTTTGTAATTTAACGCAGTGAAACGAAACACCACCCGATGATGTTCATGGTTTGACGCATTGGCGAGGCACCCGTGCCCAGGCGAAGTAATGCCACTACCACCCTCTTGGCTTACTGTGCCACTTAAAAAAAAAAAAACCTCAATACATCCGTCAATAACATTGCCTTTAATTTTTTCCCATCAATCATTTAACAAATATATGATGGGCGACCAATTCATGGTCAATGACCCTTCTTCTTATCACGAGTCTTAAACGTGTGCCCAGGAAGAGCACTTCCCCATGCCTTGTACAGATCTCTGTGGGGGGTGGCAGCGTGGTCGTGCTATGGGAGATGCTGTGAGCTAGCCAGCCAGACCCACGTGGGCCTTCCCTTCCTCACCGGCCCCGGGGGGCACGTTTGCTCCGGGCTTTCCGGCATTTTCTCTGTGAACCGGTTCTCTGCCACTCTCATCCAGCTGCAACAATCTCAACCGCCCATCAACTGGAAAAAAAAAAATCTGCATTTAAATGGAAGCGACCAACGTCCACGAGCTTCGTCCAATCGAAAGATCTTGTGGAGTTTGCTCACCCGTTAGTGGTTCTTTACAATTCGCGCTTATTAAAAAAAAATTCGGAAACGAAACTAATTAACACGGTCGTGCAGGGGGTAACGGACGGGTTATGGTTTTGGAATGAGAACGGTAAAAACCAAACGATGAATTTCATCCGAGGGAAGTCGTCTTGGGGGCCTGTTTTTTTTAAAGGATCTGGACAAACATCGCGAAACAAAATTCACCCGCAGAGGGCCGCGCAGAAACTCCACGTGGCTTTCGTAGCCACACAAACGTCCCCAATATTATGTATCAGTACTACTACGGCTTCAGGCTTGACCCAGAGCTCTACCACAACCACCACGAACCTGGCAGAGGGTCCTCCTCAACGAGCGGCGATGGACGCACGGTGCTGGTCTCCGGCACGGCGCTCACCGCCACCGTCATCTTGCGAGTCGTCCACGGGTTCACCTTGGGCGGGGGGGCCTCCACGAACTCCTTCGCCTTCACCAGGGGGGCCACGGCGGCCGCGGCGTCTTCCCTCTCCGCATCCCCCTCGCGGGACGCGTCCACGTTCTCCTTGTCGCCACCACTGCTGCTTGTTGCGGTGCTGTTACTGGCGGTGCTGTTGTGGCCACCGCTGACGGCAGTGGGGGTAACGTTGCAGGTGGAGGTGTTATTCTTGCCGCTGCTTTTGCTGGTGGTGGTGACGGTGGCGTTGCCTCTGCTACTACTGGGGCCTGCTGCTGGGCCCAACTCGGCCACTGGGCCCGACGCTTCGACCTGGGCCGACATGGCCCACGGGGGCTTCGCTGTTGCTCGCCAAAGAGAAATTCAAAAGCTGCGACCAACGCTCAGAGGGTGCAACTCGAGCACCGTGCGATGATGCACGGGCCTCTGTGTGCGGTGCCGCACCACGTCGCGAGCGGCCACGTTGAGGCCCTCACCCGACTTATTCCAATCCCACGCCTCTTTTACTTATTCTTCTCGAAAACAAATCGCGAGCCAACAGCAGCAGCAAGCAGCGTGCTTGGGCCCTTCGCTTAAGAGCAATTAACGCGACGCTCACAAGTAAATAAAAACGTTATGAATTTAAAGGGAAGGGAGAAAGCGAGAGACACGAGGCGAGGGCGCCCAGCACACACAAGACCCACCACCGACCGACCCCGTGGTGCCGCCCGCCTTCTCCTGCTCGCCTCCTGCTCTAACCCTTCCCGCCAGCGACCAGCCTCGCCCGCCCGGCTCACTCCATGCGAGGCTCGCTCGGGCAGTCGTGCTGGAGGCCACGGGGTTCAAACTCAAGAGAGCCAGACGCGCTAGAAGTCGACAGAGCCGCCGCCGCTACCACGCCGCGCACATGGTCTCGCCGCCATGAGTGCGAGGAGGGCGCATGCCTGCGCGATGACGTCACGTCCACGCGTGACGTCATCCCACGCGTCCGCCGCAATGCACTGAGAGGGGGCGGACGGCAAAACTACCGAGAGCCGCGCAGGCCAAATGTTTTGTCGCGCTGGCGGAGCGCGAGTGACGTCATCGCGCACGGTCAGGGTGTGTAACGTGTCGTGACGTCATCGCGCACGGTCAGGGTGTAACGTGTCGTGACGTCATCGCGCACGGTCAGGGTGTGTAACGTTTCGTGACGTCATCGCGCAGGTCAGGGGTGTAACGTGTCGTGACGTCATCGCGCACGGTCAGGGTGTGTAACGTGTCGTGACGTCATCGCGCACCGTCAGGGTGTGTAACGTTTCGTGACGTCATCGCGCACGGTCAGGGTGTGTAACGTGTCATGACGTCATCGCGCTCCTCCGTGGGTGCCGGCGGTAGATGTGACGCGTGCGAGTGAAACTGGTGGCGGTGACGTCATGACGACGGTGCAGAGAGAGAAGGGGGTGGGGGTCGTACGTGGCGCTCGCTGTGTGACGTCACGCGCGCCGAGTGAAAGTCCACGTGTCTCTCCTGCGGCGTCTCGAGTGCCGGTGGTGGCCTGCGTTGAAATCATCACGCGGCCTACGACTGCGAGGCCGTAACATGACCGGCCTTTCTTTCTTTTTTAAACAATACACGTTTTTTGCCTGAGGTTACTGCTGCCGTGTTCGAAGGTTGGAGTAGAATATTGTACCCTACATTAAAACACAATTGCGGTACAGTATGCAGTTTGCGAGTTTGTAAGATTACGGTGCACGTCCAGTGGGAAGAGGCTGGCCCCTGACGATGTGGAATTTCCACCACGAACTCGTGAGTCAATGAGCGGATTAAAAACTAAACTTTGTATTTCATCGGGTAAAGGCCCACTGAACTATGTGGCTCTTCTTCAAAGGCGACCTGACTACAGATGACAGCTCAACGTGGAAGTATCGCACTGATATATTTAACTAGAGCCTCTGGTCAAATCTCCCGGAATGCACCACAGATGTCGCAAGCCAAACAGGGTTGAGGCCACATGGTAGTTTAATGGGTGACTACCATTGCACAGACAGGTTGTCGTTGGGCACGTTGTCTCCGTATGTCAACAAGCGAGGCATCTCCAACCTGCACGAACCATTTTGCTGATGGCAGCCCTGATGGTCTCTAGAAATTCCATGGAGGAGTTACAACAGCATCTACAACAGGACTTTGATCATCTTCAACTAAATTCCCTAAAACTGGTCCTCAACGCTAATAAGTATAACCCGTAAAAACAAAGTTTTTCACTCTAAATCCTTTATATGCGTGGCGGCTAGAGTCCTCTCGTCCTCTGGCTTGAGATGGCTGCCACCTATGGGTCAGATGATTGCCTACCACCATTAAAAGCAATTGGTAATTAAATATAATTTTTTCCTAAAAAGTGTAAAGTTACGGAAACATTTTTTCACGAAAATAAATTGGCACGCACAACGAGTCTGTGCAAAATGTCAGCTCGATTGGATCACGGGAAGTGGGTTAAAAAACGACCGAAAGATTTTGCACGGTCATAAGCGCGCAAGCAAGTGAACTTAATATAAAGGATTTAAAAATCGAAAGACCTTCATTCTAACACGTCATTCAATTCATGTGTGAACTCATGAAACAATTTATTTCCACTGTTGCTATTACCAACCATGATCTATCCACTGGTGGGATGCTCTCTATGACATCACCATCCTTTGCAATACCACAATACATCTCGCTCTAGACACTACAGTATTCGCATAACATTGACAAAATACATAATACAGTCATTGTTATAACCCAATAAACACGTGAAATCATTTTTGTTCAAATCTTTATTGAATTTGCTTTTATAAATAAAACAAAACTGGTCTAAGACAACACAGCGGTGATGTTTTCACTTGGTGCAAGCACCGTCACAGCAACACCACCATCGACAGCCATTCTCAATCCACTGCTCAATGAAGGGGTGGGTGGCATCTGCCGACTACGAGGCAAAATAGGGCCTGCAGAAGTTGCCGGGCAGCAATGGATTGCATCGCCCCACCGTCAAATGCAGAGCTCACAAAAGGAGGGCTTGCAAGAGCGTTACACAACGTGCACCGCTTCATTGGGCAACGCATCAGAAAGAACACGAACGAACAGAAATTGCGATTTTGGTCAAGATACCCAGGGATGTGGTTTTAGTTATCGGTCAACTTTGCTCAAAGACCAAAGAGACGACTTGACAATGTTGCATGGGAGTAATGCAGTTAAGCGAATATCTGTGCTTGAAAGCCACTCAAGAATGTTACGAGCGATGAGTTTGAATACATTGCAAAGGAGGGCAACATGGGGAATTGACTAAATTACCGACTTATCACAAAGCAAAACAGCTTTATGAGAATGTGCATCAAATATGGCGACGATGTGGTGCAGAGGTTAGCGTGCTGTGCGATGAACCCTGAGTTCGATTGCGGTCCACAGCTTACACCTGTGGTGGGTGACATCTGATTTGGTCGTATGCGCGCCATTCACCAACCCACATTGATCAGCGTGGTTAAGTACATATAGTCAATCAACGTCCCCGACTGAAAAAATATGGGGAAACTTTCATCCAGTAGTGGATTGATAAGGGTCTGTTAATTATTAATTAAGTATCGCTATAAAACATTTTGGCAGGTAAGCAGCCAACAACGACGTGACCAAAATCAATGATTATACCAAATAACGTGCATTTCATAGCTTTACAGCAACAACCTAAGTAATATCACAACCTGCATTGAAATATTGAATAACATTTTACACACGGATGCTGAACTCGCACGGTGTTCAAGTGGCGTATGGTGTAAATTTCAAGTTAACAGATTTTTTTGGGCAAGTACGTGTCACTCACTGCAAGGCACCATGGTTGCACAGAGTCCACCATGGTCCTCACTCAGTACATCAAGACGTTGTCGTTGACAACAGCACTGCCTTCAAAAGCCATCACTCATTGCAAAATAGCATATTATGAAACCCTACATGCACAAAATGTGAACGAAGCAAAATCAGCAACAGAATTTGCAGCGATTTGCACAGTAAAGTCATCGATTTTAAAATTAGAGTTACGTCACTTGGCAATTTACTCATTTTTACTGTTTTCCAATGTAAAACTATAAGCACCCATACTCTATAAACATTGCATATTTCAAAAAGGCATGATCAACAATTACTAGGCACAAATCTCTGATACATAAAAACAAATTGTAAAGAAATCACCATGTTCAATTTACGGAAAATAAATGCAATTTACTGCTGGTGCCGTCATAAAGGCCATGATAACTTTGGCGATTTAAAGTATTTGGCTGCTATAACTTTCCACATAAGCCACTTTGTTGAGATATCATTTGTTGCCAGGTCGCTTCTGAAAAGAGCTATATAGCTCAGTGGGCCTTACCTAGTAAAATAAATAAAAAAGGTAAAATAGATTGCTGGTAATCACCAGCAACAGTTTTTATTATAGACAATACAGTAACTTGGTATGACAATGTAAGTGTTCTGCATAGCAAAAAAAACAGGTTTGCACTGTTTAATGAACAAAAATTGGTGTCGAGCACAAACTTGATTGTAAGATGCCATCCCAGTTGCCCACAAAGGGGAGTAAGCGATCAGCTTTGACCAGATTTAGGCAAGTGCGTTTATATATCTAAAATCGCCATAATGTTTCATGGCCTTGACGAGGGAAAATCCAAGAGGACGGAGGTGACAGACAATTCATGACCGGAACCAAGCGAGGCATCCTCTCCTCAATGAGCTCGAGGGCGACAAGGGAGGATACACTGTGCACCTATGCAAGTAATGGACGGACTGAACTCCCTGCAATATTTTAGTTCAGCTAAGTACAACATATTAATACACTTAAAAACACCGCATTTCACGGTGGAAGTGTGGTATAAAAAGGATGAAGTTTACAATTTTTTACTGCTGTCTCTTCCATTAAGCTGGGACAGAATATAGTAGCCCAAAGAAGCGGACTCGAAAAACATTTCAACGAGATCAACAGAAACTCACCTTGTTAGTTGAAAAGAGAACACTTATTGGCCAGAATGGCTCTGTGCCACAGCATGCGTTAGCACCCTAAACTCAAATCAGCAACCCATATTGTCCCTTATTTTCGACAACAATGCAGCACATTGGCCAGTGCTAGCTGAGACCCTTAAAATAAAACACAAAATTCCCACGAGTGGACATTGCAGTTAACGATACAGCTTGAAAAATGTATTAAATGGCACTTTTGCTGGTAGAGGCAGTTAAGATAAAAAAACAAAATGGTGTTGTATGTGCGACCAGCTTGATGACATGCGAGGTGGTTGCGCTATCTCCAGGCATCGGGATACTTCCTCACGTAGCGGCTGAATGCATCATAGATCGCCTGCCTGTGAGATAAATCACATTAAGTTACTTTACACCTTTGCCAATTACGATCGCCATCGCCTTCCACCAACAAAGGGTGCCAACATTGCCAACCTGGTTTACACTGAGGCCACGTAGTATTTACATATTAGTGCATGTGTACAGCCCTTGTCAATCCACTGCTGGATGAGGGCCTCAAAATCCAACATGAAGATAGAATTCCTCTTTATGTACTGCGTCCTCCTGCCACCCAATTACCCAACAGTCGAGTATCTCATGCAGATTCCTTCTCTGACAATAATAAATGGGTGGATTTTGAGGTGTCCGGTGGCTCAGAGGTCAATGTGCTAAGCTGGTATCGTTGAGACCTTGGGGTTAAATCCAAGCAGCTCATAATTAAAGTAGATTGGTCTCAGTCTGGTAACGAATTATTACACGAAAAAAGACACCCATCACATAAATTTTGTCTTACACTAAATTTGTCTATATTACAGCACTGTGAATGAAAAATATTGCTTTGTCCGTCATGTGACAAACATTACTCTCAGTGGCAAAAGAGGTGGGAAAGTGATACCCCCTGCTGTGCAAACTAGAGGTCACAAAGGGATTTCACAGGTCGCTCTGTGATATCCACTCCCGTGAGCAGGTCTCTAATTCCAAGGATTGCACTGCTCAGAATGGATTCTAAATCTCATGATGTGACACCAGTAGCACAATCGGGATACAATTGCAGAAGAAAAAAACAAGGATTTACAGCTTGCATAGCAATACATCCCGCATCTCATAACGTAGATGTCATGACACAGACCCAAGTGGTGTGGCCCATATCTCGCACTCACCTGAACTGGCTCTGTGAGAAGAGGTATGTGCTGATGTGTCCTCCATCCAGGTAGCGAACTTCACAGCCCGGCCAGATCTCATGCAGGTCGCGCACGCCCGCCCGCGGTATGTACGCGTCTTGCGTTGCCTGCACCACAATGATGAGGCTTGGGTCCACGGGCACTGCCAGTGTTACACGCGCATTTACGCACGTACACATCGTCAGCCATGATCAATCCACTGCCATTGAAAGACCTCCCCAATCCGTTGACATGCCCCAGAATCCTGCGTGCAATAATCTACCTATATGTACACATGAATACACACACACGTGTGTGTATATAGAAAACACAAAAAACGAGGATTCATGGAATTGCATTTTCACAGACTGCTGGGGGAAGTTCTGTTAAGTCATAGAAGCTCCAGCATGGCACACGAGGGGGTGGTGTAGTCAGAACTACGCCCGGATTATTTTGTCTCCTCTTTGCTGATGTTTACACATCGCACCAGGTACTAATTTCACCGATGCTAACTTAGGTCACCGATTTCATACTCCAGTACACTATCCACTATGCCACCACACCACCACGGTACAGCTGTTGTGGCAAGTGATGTTAGTGAACATCTATTAAGGCCTGCCAGGCAGTGAAGGGGTGATGTAACCAGAACAATGCACTTCTAACCACCTTTTGTCCCAGTTTTAAATGTAATGCATAATTTCATGCTAAATTGACCTTACGGTAGCTCAGGGCATGTTTAGATAACTGGTAATGGTAGGTTGGGCCTGTAATCAGTCACATCACGGTGTTAAGAGTTATATTATATTAATTTACAAAAGTTGATCATACTTCACCACATTGGTCAGTACAGATTGGTGAAAGGGGTGCCCAGGACTGCTACAGATATCACTCACCACTGATGATAGCCATAGCTGGGAATCAATCTCAAGTTGCCAGATACATAGCACATTGTGAGAACCAATTCTCCACCGCTCTACCCCAACGATTCAGGGTCAGTGGTGGTCTATATTAAACTTAAGCCCATTAATTTCTTATAGCTGCTGACCCCACACGCTGGCCTGTACCACATCTCCCCAAATTGCTCCGTCTCGATTCCGGCGCGCACCAGAAAAGTTGCCGACGTGCGTGCACTCGTCCATGACGCCCTTCATGAAGAGCAGCGACTCCTTCCTCAGAAATGCCTTCCTCCTCTCGTCCTCGCGCCGCTTGTGTTTTCCCTCCTCCCTTCTGCTGCTCGTTTTCGCCGAGCCGCTTGCGGTCACGTTGCCGGCCGCCATGCCACCCACAAAACTCATGGTGGCACCGCCTCCAGCTAGGGCACTGCTGGACTGACCAATCACATTCACAGTCTCATGCCCGCTTTTGGCTCGATGGCCAATCAGATTCAAGTTGTGACTCGCTTCGGCCACATCTTTCATCCCATCCATCAGTTTCACGGTCCCGCCCACTCGCCTGTCAATCACACCCTGGGCCCCGTCTCTGTAATCCTGACGGCCAATCGGAAAGTTCTGGGCACTGTCCGAATGCTGGAGGTTGTGTAGGCCGTTGAGGGTGTCCGACGAATGTCGCACAAAGTCTTGGCCCATCCTGAAAGAATCCATCTGTCAGTAACAGACGGACAGTGCATGACCACAGCTGTTTAGAAGATGACCCATACATTTCTGAAACGGTGTTCACTGGAGTTGAGTATATACTGGATGACCCAGTCTGACTTGAATAAGCAGTTGCATTTCAATGGGTCGTGGTCCAAGTGTCGATCGCAGAAGCAAAATAATATTCGTTGTATTGCTAGTGAAGGGCCTAATGCCATTCACTGGAGTTTCTACGAGGAAGATGAAAAAAATGACTCAATTTATTAATAACATATAAATTGGGCAACTTACCATTTTACAAAATAAATTTGTTTCTCTGTAACAACCTGGCATTGGTATTCTGCAATGTATGGATTGTTTACAAAGTATCATCCTGATTAGAGCTGTTTGCTATCGCACGTAATTTCTTCGCATTCACTACGTCCTAAATGCTGTAGCTGTATACATGTGTATCCTTCATATTCATTTTCCAAAACAATATTTAGTCTAAATATATTTTACTTATTTAAATGAGTGAATTGGAAATCTGACAATTGTCTGCGTCCAGGAAAATCATACCTGAGATGTCATGCCAGCTTCAGTTGCAATTTATGCAAACAACCATCGTCTATGGACTGGTAAGGCCCCTATTACTGTGGAAAGCGCAATATAATGCCAACACGATGGCGTTGATGACAATGCAAGTAGTAATTATGTAAAAAAATGATGAGGACGATGATGGTAGTGTTGACGATGAAGACATTGTTAATGGATTATCATAGCAATATATTATATAAAATAAACTATGATAATTATGGTAGCGTACATAATTATGATAACAGTCTTGATGGCAATGATGACAATAATGATGACAGTGATGGTGATTATTGAATAAATCTATTGCAGTGATGATAGTTATGGTGATAATAGTAATGGTGATAGAAAATAAATCACAATGGTAATTGTGATGATAACGTATGACTGTCACGATGACAATGATCGTCTGGCTGAGCGTACCCCGCAGTACTCCAGCAGGCGCGTGATTTCCTCCTCGTACTCGCTCTCTGACGCGTACTGCTGCTCCAGCTGCCGCCAGTTCACGGCGTGGCTCAGCACGCCCTGGATGGGGAGTGGAGTAGGGGCGGGCAACGGGAACATCAACACGCAGTCGTCGGATTGTCTCTGTTGCACTGCACGGCATGGCAGGTTTGACCACACAATGCTGACACGGTGTCTCGGAAATCACCTTCTCAGCCAGAGATGGGGAAATGTTTCCTTCCTGGGCACCGGTCATGACTTTCAAATACATTTTACGGCTCACGCACTGATACACACCTCGGTCACTTCTGTCATTACAAGAGGCCCTTGCTGTGACCGAATTAGCTGAGCCCGGGAAAAGTAGGAGCACAATGCTGCCATGCCAGATATATTCCCCTCTAGCACCCGATTAGTAGTGTGGCTAAGATGCTTGCATTCACCAATAAATATTGTTTGTGGGCTGTTTAAAAGTGGTAGGCCTCATGTGGCCGTGGGTCAGATATGGCTCAAGAAGGGAGCCATGTATATTCCCCACCTATACTCGAGGCCAGGGGTCTGCAACCAAAATGAGCCATTTTTTTTGTTATGTGGTAAAATATTCAATATTTCAAGAACTGAAATGCATGTTCATGACGTCACAAAGCAGTCCTTAAAGAGCCGCATGCGGCTCCGGAGCCGCAGGTTGCCGACCCCTGCTATAGGATAATGCCTGACCCATTGTGCTCTCTGTGTGCCCTTGGGTGTCTGCATTCATTCACGTGATGTGTTACTAAAGTAAGGCAGAGCTTCCAGTTTTTTTATTGGTAAACAGCACGAAAACCTCTTAACAGAGGAACCCAAATGTGCTCCATCACAAGAGTGTTCCACCCTGGCAAATGGGGTGAATCAGATTCTACAACTATGATGAAGGGCCACTGCACTTCTTAGTTTATTAACAACAGTTTTTTCACCGTAAAAACTGCAGATTAACCTATAGAAGAAAACTGCAAATCCATCAGACTGCACAAAACTGTAATCGTCAAGGACAATTATAAGCTTATCATATATGCAGCATTCTTCAGTGACAAAGTAATGTCAGTGACGACGGTGGTTTTCGGGCTATGAAAATGAAATGGCAATGTAATTAGGCAGGTGAGAATGGCTAAACCTTATGTAACAGGGACCTAGTTGCGTGCTACATTCTACACTCTTGGTTTTGTATACTATTGTTGTTGACTATTTAATCACGTGCTTACTCCAATACTTTGTGTTGATTCAGGTTTTCCTTGAATAGCATATGGTTCATCTCATGGTCTCTTGCCTGATTATATATTTGTAGTGACATCGCGGATGTCACTGTATGGAGCCGGGCCGAGAGGGCCGTGGCGTGCGATGTCCCTACATTGCGGACAGCACCGGGTGGGTTGCTGTGTGAGGTCGGCTCTCACACAGCACGTTGTGCGATACATTGTCATCGCGTACACCCCGTAGGTGGGTGTAGCACCAGCCCTAGCGGGGCTTGGTGAGCGCTTGGATAGCGCGGGCACCACGCATAGCGTGTAGTGCGGGCTCCCACAAGGGGGAGTGGGAGAGTGTCAGCCCAGGGGCAGGGTTGCCCCGGGCCATGGCTCTCTGGTTGACCCCGTAGCCACGTGATCCAGTGTCCACAGGGAGGGCCCCAGGTGGGGGGGGGGGGCTAAGGGGTGATCACGTGTCCGGGGAGAGCTCTCGAAAGGGATCGGGAACTAGAACACTCAAGAAGGCAGGCGGGGCCAAGGGTGGAGCAGCCCCTGACCCGGGAGGATATAAGGTGGGTCCCTGAGAGGGACTGGGGTCGCTGCATTCTACAATCTGGAAGCTCCACGTCTACAAACTGGAAGCTCTACGTCCTACGAGATATCAACACGTGGTCGGGGACCCGAGTGAGGGTCTGATCCTTCGTAGCTGTAACTCCTACGTAAAGAGTAGTTAACTGGGTGGTCACCAACCTAGGCTGTATCTGGTGAAGGGGCAGTTACCCCTTTGTGTTAATGGGTTGATGTTACAATAAAAGTGTTGCCTCTAAAGAACAATGTCTGCGACTCAGTTGGACTCACTATATATTGAACGGAAAATGAATGCAGAGATGAGTGTGGCTTTATCCGGGCTGCGCCAACTCACGGTGGTGAAGACGGCAGAGGCTGTGGACCAGGAGAGGCAAGGCACCAGTGGGATTGGCTTGGGCCAATTGGTGACGGCCAGGGAGGCCATCTGCACAAAAACAAAGATGACCCGTATAGCCTTTAACAGACTGTTGGGGCAAGTGCTGCGAACGGACACCTATGAAGGCCAACACGGCACACAAGGGGGTGGGTGGCCAAGTCGACCTAGGTGAGGCCCAGGATTGGTTCATATAATCGTCACCGATGTTGGTGGCAATGAGGGGGAATGAAACTCGGGGGTCGCTCGGTTCGTAGCGCAGCATGCTAACCACAGCAACCAACGCTCGCCACACATGTACATGCACAAACGCACCCTTATTGTGCCGTAAATTACTTACATATCAACAAATGCGTATCTTCTCGAAGCCACGAATTCAATTTTCCAATCTCTCATCGTAATTCGGGACGAATGGAACAGGTAAATGCAAGAGTACGCACGTGTCCGCCCATGGAGATGCCGGTCATGGCGAGCGGCCCGTAGCCCTCACGCTCCAGCCAGTGCAGCAGCGCGGCCGACTCGAGGATGAGGGCGCCGCCCATTACGAACAGATCTGACACGTTCCGCAGGCTCGAGCGCCTGCACACACAAGCACACGGCATCCCACAACACATAGAGGAAGTGTTACCAATTAAAAATAAATTATTTAAAATTTACCAAGGCCTACTGAGCTATATAGCTCTTTTTCAGATGCGACTTGGCCATAAATCATCGTTCAACGAAGTGGCTTATAATCACGTGAAAATTTATAGCAGCCAAATACTCTAAACACGTGTTTCTAAATGCAGAGGGAAAAACCGGAGGACCCAGAGAAAAAATACACGTGACCACTGGGAACAAGTGCAAATTCAAAATACACAGCAGGCATCAGGGTCGGGATCGAACCCACGACCTCTTGCATGCCAGGCGAGGTAGTTAACATCTCACCACCGTGGCTCCCCTTTCGATCCTCGCCCTATTAGCCGGGACCACATGGTGGCTGATGTCTAGAATGATCCTGTGGAGGTTGGTGGATCCTAGGAAGGGGGCATCGCCCTTTGGGAGAAATGCGTCTGTGGGGCACCGAGGTGGTGTCTTCAGAAAAGCATATTTTTTATTGTATATTTGTGAAATTACCAAACCCAGTGGGGGGTGTGAGGTGACCAGGTGGTGGCAGTACAGCAGGTGGGTTTGCAATCTCATCCTTAAAGACCTTTGAGTGTTATCTCCTCATGTACATGATGGTTTCCTCCCAAACTTACAATAATTCCTAAAATGGGTTTGGTCAAACTTGCCAATGCAGGGCCACATCTAAAATAGGCATGAGACAGTGAGGCTTTCCTGGGTAAATGCTGGATCAATAAATGAAATTACAGGAGTACGGAGTCCATAGGCCCAGAGCAGAATTGTTCACTTGTTGTTATGACCTTAGGTGGAAATGTTGTGTTACTTATTGGAAAAAAACACAATACATATTTTCAACAATATAAATAACAAAAAATGGTAATTCACTGTTAATGACCTCATAAGCATGTTCCACTAAACATCTGGCATTTCAGCTATAACTAATTTCTGCACTGATGCTTGAAAAACATCTGGGAAGGCCTCACTGTGTCTTGATCAAGACTGTTCTTGCTTTTCAATAGACTTCTGCTTGACTGTCTGGCCAACTGCATTTAGAGCATTCTTTTGAACGTGGGAGAAAACTGCAAAGTACCAAGAAACAGACACACTCACACGAGATAATCTCTACCCCCAGCCTGACCCTATTCAAGTCCAGCCTAAACACCCTCCGCGTTTCCTCTGCCTGTGAACGAATGCCTCTCTCTACAAAATGAATATGCTCACTGTGTCAGTACAGAATCTTTAGATGTGCTAAAAACTGTCAAGGTATATGAATCCAACTGTATAGTATTGCATTTAAAATAGGTCAGCCAACTTGTTGGTGCACACAATGATTACAGACTTGCTGGCCAGTAAGCTTGTTTCTCATGTAGCACAGTGACTCTTGTTAAAGCTGGGATCCCCACGTGATCTCATAACCTGGCCTGCAACCACCGGATTAAATTAGGTAAATCCCTGTAAAATCTGGATGAGCCCCTCAAGTTGTATCTACTGAACCTTGTTGATGAGCTGTAAATAGACGCCGTAGATTTACACGTAAAGTTATCTCATCAATACACTGTTTGGTGAGGGCCTCCCAATGCTGTATGGGTCGTATGACCATACTTCACCACACTGGTCAGTACAGGTTTGTGAAGGTAGATGTACCATAGAAGGGATTTTGCCAAACTGCCCTCTGCTGCCAACGGAGCAGCCTATCACACAACCTGTTCTGTAAATGGTACCTGGCCACCAAAGCACTACCCAGGCCCAAAATCCTGCTAATCTTCTGAAATCTGAGATTGAGGTCATTCCTGGATGTGGTCACAGGTATACAGCGTGTAAATACTGTTTTAAATGCCCACAAAGTACAACAGTGTATAGTTTCAATCTCTCAACCTATCATGTACCACATTTCCTGTGTACAATTTGTACGTCTAATTGTACCGGTGTCCCATGCCATCAGAAACAACTTTCATCTCAATTATGTGCAGCATTTCGAGACCGTTTTCATTGTTGCAGTACTTACACTTGGGCTTTGGGCTTCCTGTAGCCATGTGGAATCCCCGAGGGTCAAGGTTCACATGGTAGCACGGGTGTCATCGTATTAGCTTCAGAAGCTCAGCAGACCATTCGGCCACAGGGTAGAAGTCAAATTTTTGGAAAGATATACAACTTCAATTGTAATGTTACCAGTTTCCATTTCATATACACCTCTGATTAGCACGGTTGGTTACGTACGTTGCGAAAGAAGTTCAACATACATACATACAGTTGCTCAGGCACTGTGCTCTTGAACCTGAGTTTGAGTCCCGGTCATGGCTAACATCAAAGGCAGGGGATAACTGAACTGGTCATGGGCCCTCATCCCGCCTTTATCAACCCACACTTGTCAGCGTGGTTAAGTGTGGTCGAATAAACTGTGAGGAGGCCTTCATCTATTAGTGAATTGACAAAGGGATTCTCTATGATTAATAATTATGTAAGCGCACAGGACACTTCCTATTTGTGGTTGCCTACAAAATCCAGGCAACTGCATTACAGCTTTGGGTTGCTGACGAGTAGTGTAGAGCTTGAAACCGGTCCACATATTTCGTGCAATAAAGCTGCCATTTTTAAATATAACACCGGGAAGAAACTGTTCATGACGAAAAACTTTGTTAAAAACTATTTTTTTAAGATATAATAACTTGAGGCCCTTTGCCACTCCAGTGCTGGATGAAGACATCCTCACACCATATTGGCCGTGTTTTTTTTCCCTCCATGCTTCACCATGCTGGTAAATACAAATTGGTGACGTGGGAGGCATGGTGCTAAGCCTGGTTCAGAAAGCACTCACGCAACTGATGTTTGCCATGGCCAGATGTTGAATTCAGGTTGCAGGGTTTACAGCGCAGTGCACAAAAAACTGTGCCACCGCATCCTCCCCTAAGCAGCAGCCTATTAGCACTCAATTGTAAACACACGTGGCTGAATCTAATGCAGCCCTACAGTTGGGCTTGGCAGAGGATATAGTAGGGGTTTTCCAGCAGCAGTGACGAGATTCCGGCCTCCTTGATCATGGGCCGTGCCATGAGCGCGCGTCGCCGCCAGAAGTACTGCAGGACAGCGAGAACGATGTGAGCACGAACACGCGCAGCCATGTGCACAGTCCAACACAACGTCGCGCACGGGGGGCCGACAACACAGCGATTCACCCCAACAGTATTCTCGGCCTCACCGATTGTGCTTACATAGGAAAAGTTATGTTTTTTTCAGGTGCAGGTAATTAGAAATTATTGCTAACCAATGTTTAAAGCATGTATTCATGAGCACTGTCCATCCGTTTGTCTGTAATGGGAGGTGCAACGACTCTCATAAAGATGATCCAACATGAACAAAACTTTGTATAAAGCTGTATTGCTATCATGGATTTGCCCTTTACAAACATGATCAAAAGCATTTACCAAAACTTAAGAGACACTCATGATCATCACTAACCACCGATAAAATCACCAGTCTCGCTGTCTTAATCATTTCGGCTGAATCGCATGCACCCTACCAAGCAGAGCCGCTATCCAAGCTTGGTCATGTCATCATGGCCTATGGATGCACTGCTTCCTAACATGCCTGGCTCGAGCACTTCTGTTTTTATCGCTAATTCAATCAATTCATGTTGTAAAGTGTTACAGAATCTGCGAGCCACCCTCACGCACACGCACCATGCGGACACGACATCTCCGCTCTCACGACAACACGCACCAATCACATGCGGGGGAATGCGTGGGACGGGGGTCAGGGGTCAAAGGGCAGTGACGTCGCCCGGCCTAGGCCCGGCCACCGTGGATGTGTCTTGGGAGCGAGGGCGGAGATGGAGGGGTTAAAAGGGGCTGTGGGGACATGTGTTCGGGGTTGGTCTTGGAACGAGTGTTGCTGTGCGTTGATGAACTAAAGAAGTGCTTTAACCATTCTACGACTCCTCTTCACAATGTTAACCGTCACTCTTTAATGTCAACTCGACCGACCAGCCTGACATAGTACACAGGAAATAAGTTTTTGCAGAGGACATGGTACCCGCCACACAAGCCACTACAAGCCACCAGGCCGCCTCAAAACTACATTTTGGTGGATTATTTAATCAACAAGACTCCACCCATCGTCAAACTCAAGAGGATGCAGAGAAAGACTCAATCAACAAGAAATGCAAACTCACATGGTCCCCAGTTCCTGCCAGGTGAATGCACACGGGCCTGTTGGCTGTCTTCCATTTCAAAGGTAGAATGAATTGAAATCTGAACAGGGAAGGCAAAGGAACAATATATTTACTACTGGACACAATAATTGGTTCATATGGTGTTACAGCCTTACTCAAGTATACCCATCTGCAGTATCGTGTGTGCCGCTGTATCGATATGGCTGATGTCACAGTCACAGGAGATCAGCCGATAGCCTGGATGCATGGGTGGCAGGGTGAGCGCTGATATGGTCTCACCTGGCTGTGACGATCTCGGGCGGCATGATGCCAGGCAGGTAGTGCTGCAGTGGCGACGTGAAGTGCCCCTCCATGATCCGCACATCGGACTGCTCATAAACCTGCCACGTGACATGTTAGTGCTACACGCGAGCATTAAACGTCGCTGTTGCAGCATAACATTACTTTGCTATTGCAGCAACTACCAGCAGCCCTGTACAATCGGGCAGATTTCTCAAACAATTGTGAATGTTGTGATAAGTGTGAAGGTTGACAAGATGTTATATATAAACTACATATTTTCAGGGAGCGAGCCAAGCTAAAATTACATTTTATGGCAGCCATATTGTTTTTCAAAATGGCCACCATTGTCAAAGATACACCTAAAAACTGTACTTTTAAAGGCACATAGGTTGCTTGAAGTGGCGATACACACATTTGTGACCAAGAAATTTAAGACACTTTTAATGCATTAGAGGATAGGAGCATGGCTCATGCCTATGGGTATACATGCCTTAAGGCTGTCGGCATCTCCCATGTAGTGTGGATATAGCTTTCTGGAGTCTAGATTTACTGTAGTGTAACCTACACAACTTACTCCAGTATTGCTCTGTATGTTGGCCTCTTCAACACCATCCCCTTAATCTGATCGGACTTTTTTTGAAAGGCAAACTATAGCACGGCCCTATAGTGGATCGCTGAGCTTATCTTCCTGGCAAATCACACACTCGCTCAAGTATGTGGAACAAGCGTGATGAGGTAATGTTCTTATGTATACTTATATTTCTTACTTAACATGCCTCAGATTTATCAATAGTTTCAGCCACCACATTCTAAAACTACAACTATAATCTTCTTTCCCTCACTGGGAGAAGTTGAGAGAAACAAAAATTGCATTTTATTAGCTTGAGTAAAGAGTTTTACCTTGTAAAGTTGGATATGGTCAATCTTGTTTATAGTTGATGGCCAACCTCAACAAATGGCAACCATGGTGATCAAATTGCATAAATCTTGACATACAAGATAACAAATCCATTCTAAGTTGAAATCAAGGTCTCAGTGGGGTTATTTTAGCTTGGGTCCCTCTCTGAAACTGTTGAGTTTATATTCATAAAGCATCCTGAAAACTTTAATGCTTAAATCACATGTACTATATCCTCTGCTAAGCCCAACTAGATAAATGTTCAAGGTAACCTGTAGCTTGGTACAGCTCAATGCACTCTTATTCATTGGTGGGCGTGGCTCATCGATAACTCCTGACGTGTGTCAAACACATTCATATATACCATGCTGCTGCAGATTAATACATTTTTGAAAGCCTCCTTCCACAGCAGATGAAGATGAAAGCTCTTCAAAAAACTTTTGCACATGTTGTCGGAGCTGTATCAACACAATCTACGCACGGGCACCATGTTTAAACTAGACAATGTCACGTGGTTCTGCCAGCTGTGGTTTTAACCTTGTCCACGTGGATGGGATAGTCGTGTGGCACCAGGTGCTGGCATCTCTCACGGTTCCCGATCATTTTCCGAACTCAAAAATCCTGCACACCCAGAAAATCACACACCAAAATAGTTGTCTATTTTTCTTTTACACTACCTCCCCACCCCTCACTAAACCTCTTATGATAACCGAGCATATTTACAAGGGTTTTCACAACATACAAATTAAGATGCAACAACTTACGCTTGTGAGACCTTCCGCAAGAAGAAAAGAGGAGCAGCGTCTGCCAGATATCATGATTTATCTCACGAGAGCCACTCACTATATAGAAAACTCAAAAAGCCATGGGCTGGGTACATTGCAAAAAAAATCACAAAGGATAAAAATAGAGATAGAATGGCAGCCAAGGCAGGGGAATGTGCACTATGTGACGACCCATACGCAGACAGGGAATACTATTAGAGCTCATCTTGAACGGATTACCACTGCATATTAACATCATGAATTAACCAGCCAGCAGTGGATAGAAAATGGCAATCTATATTTTTACACTCATGCAGAAAAAGTAAATTCTCATGAAATTCTATGTTTGGTGTTGGAAAATTAAAATTTTTGACGTATTGGTTTAACCGAGACTCTTTGTGTGAAATGTATGTGACCAATTCATATTGAGCGTGGGTTGCAGACACCTACATGAGGACATAAACGCAAGAAAGCTGCTCTTCACTGTACAGCAACCTGACTGTGGAAGTCATCTCAAAACATTCAAACAGGCCAAGGCCGTTTGACATTAACACTTACAAAAATGCATTTTACGCTAAATCTGCAACGACCAGCAACAAGTGGCCTATTCGGTGAAAATGAAACAAAAGCGATCGGTGCTGCATCGGTCCGGTTTCAACCGCCGAGGCCGTGCACAGAGAAGACATGACAAAGTTTTGGAAGGGAGGGATTGCGAAGAGGGGCAGTCATGTCCACCTTTTGAGGTCCTCGGGCCGGCCCCAGCCATGCGTGAAGAGCTTGGTGAGAAGTAGGCGGCGGTAGAGCACGTCCAGCCGGCTCATGGCGCCCAGCGTCACTCACTCTGCAGCCAAAGCGCGCGCAGTAAAACCACGCTCAAGTGGCCCAGAGTCTTTGCGAGGCACAGCTTGGGTTTACGGAGTCGCAACAAGGGCACCTTGTCTGCAATCCACAGTGATAGAACAGGTAAAGCTACTACAGATCTGTAACTTCACAACCTCATGCCACTCCTCGCAGATGTCTCCACTAAAGGGAGTGAGAAAGCCCCTGGAAGGTATCTGGCCCGCTCTTTCATGCTGGCCAAACATCTCGGAAGAGGTGGGAGTATCCACACTTTACCCCACCACATGCGACCCGCCAATGACTAACTGTGGTGTGATAACTGTAGCTGGGTCTATCCGGGGCGGTGAACCAGGAAATCTTTCTGCACCTGGCACACCACATGCAGTATACTTCTCACTATGGTTGGGGCGACTAGACATTTGCCTACTTCAGTTTACCAACAACAAAGAAAATCCAAAAGAGATGTTTTGGGTTAGATCGCATAAATATATAAGTGTGTCGTTAAAATCCTCCACCACCCGACACAGGCAACTAGTAATGGTTGTCACGTAAACAGAACATGCCAATTCGTCACGAGTACAGCACACCGGTGTGTTCGAGAGCCATGCCATAACAAAAAACCTCCATTATGGATGATATTGGTCGCGAAAGCCTACGTGTTAAACTGAACAGAGAAAATATTCAGTAATCACAATTAGAAAAGGACACTGGCAAATCATTGTTTAATATATTGTACGGATTGCATGCTTACATACAGTACAATGCGTATTTTGCAACAACAAAATTAAAATAGTATTTATTTCGTGAACTAATTGTGTAATATCTCTTGTGCAACCTGGCTTACAAAATGCTTGCATTTGGCATTCATCTTTTGCACAGGCATCTGCTAACAAATATGAATTGGTGGAGGAGCGTCCTAGATTAAGCACACAAATCACTAACTTGAGACTATCCGAATGCAATTTTCATTTTTACAGCAATGAACAAACAAAATAATCCGATATGAAGCAGCTTCTCAACACACACTCTGACCAGGCTTAAGCCCTTGTAAAAACACGAAACAAGACGTACATTTGCACTTGTAAGCGACTGTCAATGTCTTTTTAACCTTTGGACTACCTGCCAGAAAACCAGAACATGATCTATGCCAATTGACAGTTCAACCTCGTGTGCAACTGCACAGCGATCATCTTAATAAATATATAAAAACGATGCAGATGTTGACCCCACTGTGTTGCTAAAATCCACTCAAACCTTTTCATTACTGATGTTAACAATACTTCGATTCGTCACAGATGTAATGGATCTGCGAGCCACCCTCACGCACACGCACCATGCGGACACGACATCTCCGCTCTCACGACAACACGCACCAATCACATGCGGGGGAATGCGTGGGACGGGGGTCAGGGGTCAAAGGGCAGTGACGTCGCCCGGCCTAGGCCCGGCCACCGTGGATGTGTCTTGGGAGCGAGGGCGGAGATGGAGGGGTTAAAAGGGGCTGTGGGGACATGTGTTCGGGGTTGGTCTTGGAACGAGTGTTGTTGTGCGTTGATGAACTAAAGAAGTGCTTTAACCATTCTACGACTCCTCTTCACAATGTTAACCGTCACTCTTTAATGTCAACTCGACCGACCAGCCTGACATAGTACACAGGAAATACGTTTTTGCAGAGGACATGGTACCCGCCACACAAGCCACTACAAGCCACCAGGCCGCCTCAAAACTACATTTTGGTGGATTATTCCCACCGCTAGAAACTTCACCTGAACCCATCCAAAACAGTTGTGGAAGCTAATAGGGTTTTTCCCCTTTTTTCTGGCAACAAAACTGACACCTTTTGCAAGGAATCATGCTTACATTAACCACAATACCTGCAGTCAAATGCAAACAAAAAACAATACTCTGATAATTTATGCATTGTCTTTGAAACTGATTGGTCCGCACCAGAGACAGCTTTCTTTGGAGCCTAGTCTCATATGGTGTTCGACCAGATGACGCCAAAAGGCGCACAGTTCAAAGACAACGCAATACCAGAGTAATGAGAGCTCGGGGTGAGCAGCTACATCATGGGATCTCCTTTGCCAGTACCAAAATATACTAATAGGGTTTTTCCCCTTTTTTGGCAACAAAACTGACACCTTTTGCAAGGAATCATGCTTACATTAACCACAATACCTGCAGTCAAATGCAAACAAAAAACAATACTCTGATAATTTATGCATTGTCTTTGAAACTGATTGGTCCGCACCAGAGACAGCTTTCTTTGGAGACTAGTCTCATATGGTGTTCGACCAGATGACGCCAAAAGGCGCACAGTTCAAAGACAACGCAATACCAGAGTAATGAGAGCTCGGGGTGAGCAGCTACATCATGGGATCTCCTTTGCCAGTACCAAAATATACTATGATGTAGCTGCTCACCCCGAGCTCTCATTACTCTGGTATTGCGTTGTCTTTGAACTGTGCGCCTTTTGGCGTCATCTGGTCGAACACCATATGAGACTAGGCTCCAAAGAAAGCTGTCTCTGGTGCGGACCAATCAGTTTCAAAGACAATGCATAAATTATCAGAGTATTGTTTTTTGTTTGCATTTGACTGCAGGTATTGTGGTTAATGTAAGCATGATTCCTTGCAAAAGGTGTCAGTTTTGTTGCCAGAAAAAAGGGGAAAAACCCTATTAGTATATTTTGGTACTGGCAAAGGAGATCCCATGATGTAGCTGCTCACCCCGAGCTCTCATTACTCTGGTATTGCGTTGTCTTTGAACTGTGCGCCTTTTGGCGTCATCTGGTCGAACACCATATGAGACTAGGCTCCAAAGAAAGCTGTCTCTGGTGCGGACCAATCAGTTTCAAAGACAATGCATAAATTATCAGAGTATTGTTTTTTGTTTGCATTTGACTGCAGGTATTGTGGTTAATGTAAGCATGATTCCTTGCAAAAGGTGTCAGTTTTGTTGCCAGAAAAAAGGGGAAAAACCCTATTAGTATATTTTGGTACTGGCAAAGGAGATCCCATGAAGTTGTGGAAGCCTTCTACCTTGACAACAAAACTGCTATTCAACTGCTCAATGTCACATTCTGCAATTAACAGGCGATATAAGAAGTAGATCCAAATTGCCTGGATGGGACTCTGAACTGGAAGCAGACCTTTGGAAAACAATATTTTAAAGACACACGAAAAGGGCAGAAGTAGGTTAGAAGCCACTACGTGGGGTCCTGGAGCTTGCACGCTTTGAACGGCAGCATTGGCGCAGAGGAAAACTGTTGCCTCCCCATTCATCAGGACGTCAATAGCATCGCTTGAAGTCACGCAAGCCCTTTTGGACCCATGTGCTTCACCTGCAACAATGCAAGTTCAAACCTGATGAAGTTTGGAGAGCTGAATAGAGTTCAAAATAACTCTCAAACAAACACCTTGTGAATTAGCCAATGCAGAAAATCCCTGGGTTTGATCTTCTATAAAGTTCATGGTCCACCCTAAATCACATCCTCACAAACCATGGCAGATTCGGATACCTGATGCTCAAATGGAAAATTTAAAACTATCCATTGTGCGACTGTGGTCATCCAGAACAGACCATACAACAAATAACGATGCAATGCCCGATCCACAAATAGAAAGAGACATCACAGCAATGCATTCCGCTGCTCCTGACTCGGTTGTCTGGCTTGCCCACCTGAATGTGAAATTGTAGTTTTTGCTCTACATCTACATCAGCCATACGAAAGAAGATTGGCGCAGATAAAGTATATGGAATATACTTGAACGCCGAGTACTGTCCCCTGGATTGGTCGAGCAGCTCTCACACACAGAGTTCGTGGGCGCACAATTCGACACAGAAATGCCCCCCCGTGACCAGCACTGTGAAACCAACCTTGATGGAACGAATGTGTATTTAGCCCACATAACACTCCCGAAGGTCAGAAGAGATGTACAAAAATTGCATGCACTTTCCACACCATCGTGACCAACTCGAAGCTACCAACAATTCGTGTAACCCTCCGCTATCCCGCCTGAAATATCGCAAACCTTTATTGGCACCAGGGCAAAGGCTCTCTCAATGCGTCCTCCTTCAACGTTGAGTCGCGGTGGAGAACAACCTTGGACAACGTCCCAAAACAAGGACCTCATCATTGACACCACCGCAAACCCCCCGGGGGAATTGGACCTAACAAGGACGACGTGGCCTGCTATGAATTGCATCTAAACATTGCACTGGAGGGGGGTCACCGATGGAATATGAAACACAGCCCTCATTTGGATCTGTGGCTGTCAAGGCCACACCAAGGGACACGTTGTTCCCCAACAGCGCCCACGTTGGTAATTCGCTGGCAGCATCTCAAACATTCCCAAAATCACTCCTGTCGCTCTTAACTGGGTCACCAACATCGACAACATATAAGGCTTGATAATCGCACCCCAATATAAAAGTGTTGTTCTAATGGTCAGCAATTATTCAAACTTCTATAACTGCTCACAACTCAAATAGTCCGTTCGTAACGCACTCATTCCTGCCCACTCGATTAATGAAGTTTACCACCATATTCTTGGTTCTTTCGGTAAAGTCACGTAGAAGGGAAATAATAAAGTAATAGAAATATAAAACAATAAAAATTCTCACGACGTTTCGACTGCAACACAAGCAATCATCATCAGATGTGAAATCCGCAGCAATACATTTTTATTTTTAAATCCTTTATGTTAAGTTCCCTTGCTTGCTTGCGTGCTTGCTTGCTTACGACCGTGCAAATCTTTCGCTCGTTTTTTAACCCACTTCCCGTGATCCAATCGAGCTGACATTTTCCACATAGACTCGTTGTGCGTGACAATTGATTTTCGTGGAAAAAAAATTCCAAAATTTTACACTGTTTAGGGGAATTTTTTTAAATATTTAATTACCAATTGCTTAATGCTGACAGACAATCATCTGACCCATAGGTGGCAGCCATATCAAGCCAGAGGACGAGAGGACTCTAGCCGCCACGCATATGAAGTACTCTTGAAGACGCGTGGACACCGTAGGTAAGGCACACGTATTTATTTACTCAATGTCTTACAGCGCTGAGGGATGTATCGGCCCCCTCACCCGTATAACTGGGAATTCACCTCTAACTAGCCTTCCTAGCCGAGTCCTCCACTAACGGGCTAGGGGAGGCTGTCTGGCCCGACACTGGTCAGTCGGGCTACGGTACCCGGAATCCCAGAGGACTAACTCTGGTTCCGGGACCACGCCACTGGCTCCAGCCTGCGCTGCCCTTACAAGGGCGGCGTCCGCAGGGGGAGTCCAGGGCCTATCTGGCCGGTCTTCCTTCTTCCCTTAACTACTCTAAGACACACCCCCGAGCTCTCTGGCTCATCCCTTTTTATACCCCCCTAGAGGATCGAAACCCCCCTCACGCCGTCCAGTGCGGACGTCGTTGCGGGCACCACCCCGTGTGCTCACGGAGTCCCCGCCCACTGTGTTTGTTATCCGTTAGCTCCCATGCAAACAGCCCTACACAAACAGCCCCTCTGTAACAGCCCTACACATATAAAGGATTTAGAGTGAAAAACTTTGTTTTTACGGGTAATTTTTTATTTTCTTGCTGTGAATTTCACACCTCATGATGATTGCTTGTGTTGCAGTCGAAACGTCGTGATAATTATTATAGTTAAATGTTTTTATTGTTTCCCTTCTACGTGACTTTACCGAAAGAACCAAGAATATGAATCCCTGCAGTCACGAAAGCTTCAAATCAAAGTTTACCACCGTCTACCTTGCTTAACTATGCCTCTCTTTTACCCATCGCTCAGTTGACACCGTGCGCTCAAACACAAAGTCACGATTTTCCACTTGTTACCAACGTTATCGTGCCAGGCTATGTGCACTTTGAGAGCACACGAAATAAAGACACGACAAGGACACACACAGGAACAGGGAGACATGCATAGACACATTGACAAATATTAACACTGCTCATATTGACACATGTACGCAATTACACACACAATTACACTTGCATGGGGTTACGGAAACGCACGCACACAAACACGTTAACAAAAACTTACACATACAGTTAAATCTATATATACTTAATATAAATGTATACATACTGAAACACACACACACACGTGTTATTACACAGATGCAAACATGCCTGCGACACAGACGCACAAACACGCACACTTACAAAGACAGACGCCCCCGTGTAGTAGCCTGAACAGACTGTTGGGGCAAGTGCTGCTAACGAGCGCCTATGAAGGCCGGCATGGCACACTGACACACAAACAAACACCACAACAACAACAATCTCAAATTGACAGTAAAATCGCTGTGAGCGAGCACCTGTTAGCCCCGGCTGGCGAGACCAGCATCACACGCCCGCCACCTCAACTCTTCTTGTTATCACCGTCCCCGAGGTCTCAACCACCACCACAGCCAACAGCACCAACTCCTTGACTCCCCTCGTGGTGGCGACGGCCAAGTCGACCTAGAGGCGGCCCACGGCTTGGCGAGGTCACGTCAACCCACCCCCCACCTCGTCCAGTCGCCAGTGACTTGCACTCTTATTGGGCCAGTTCCAACTCACCTCCTGTAGCCAATCACAGGAGCCCACCGCGGGGGGAGGGGGTGGAGTCAGGTGGGGGGGGGGGCTTTTTTAACCAATCGCGTCACGGAATAATACTGCAAGGGGAGGGGGAAGAGGAGGGGAGGCAGGAGGGGGTGGAGATCAGCGGGGAGGGGGTGGGAGTAGAGGGGGAGTTGAGGGGGGTGAGAGGGGGAGGGGTTGGAGGAGGGGGGGGGGATAGGGGGCAGAGGTGGGAGAGGAGGGAACGAGGAGGGGGCAGAGGAGGAGGGGCGAGAGGAGGAGGGGGTGATGGAGGAGGCCGTGTGCTCCGTGGCAGATGACGGGGAGCTCTGCATGCTGTTATGAGCTACCCGTCGGAGGCCATAGGACTGCGAGGGGGGCGGCGTAAATAACGAGAGAGTGAGCGAGAGAATGAGCGAGAGAGAGAGCGAGTGAGAGAGAGCGAGAGAGCGAGCAAGCGAGAGAGTGAGCGAGAGCGAGCGAGCGAGGGCTACATAAAGCCCTGTTTAAAAAAAAAAAAAATTACGAAATGATGAACGAAACAAAGTGCCGAATACACCGAGCATCTTCTTGTTTCTACTGATCGAAAAAAAAAAAGAGAGAGGAGGAGGGGGGAGAGGAGGTATGAGGAGGGGGAAGATGAGGGGGGAGGAAGGGAGGAGGGGGAGAGAGGAGGAGGTGGAGGAGAGGAGGGGATAAGAAAAGGGGGGGAGAGTAAGGGGGTGGTGAAGGGGAGGAGGAGAGGGGAGGAGGAGAGGGGAGGAGGGGTGGGAGGAGGAGGTAAGAGGGGGGGGAGGTAGAAGGGGGGAGGAGGAGAGGGGAGGAGGGGGCAGAGAAAGGGGGAGGAGGAGGGGGCAGAAGAGGAGAGGGGGCAGGGTCAGAGAGGGTAGAGGAGGTATGAGGAGGGGGAAGATAAGGGGGAGGAGGGGGGAGGGAGAGAGGAGGAGGAGGTGGAGGAGAGGAGGGGGCAAGGGGGTGGTGGAGGGGAGGAGGAGAGGGGGAGGACGAGAAGGGGAGGAGGGGGGGAGGTAGGAGGGAGGAAGGGGGAGGAGGAGGGGTTAGGAGGGGGCGGAGGGGGTAGGGGGAGGAGGAGGGGGTAGGAGGGGGAATGAGGGGGTAGGGGGAGGAGGGGTGGAGGAGGAGAGGGGAGGAGGGTAGTAATAAGAGGAGGACGAGGGGACGGAGGGGTGGGAGGAAGGGGGAGGAGGGGGGGAGGAGGAGGGGTAGGAGGGGGAATGAGAAGGTAGGGGGGAGGGGGGTGGGAGGAGGAGAGGGGAGGAGGGGTGGGAGGAAGGGGGAGGAGGAGGGGGTAGGAGGGGGAATGAGGGGGTAGGGGGAGGAGGGGTGGGAGGAGGAGAGGGGAGGAGGGGTAAGAGGAGGAGAGGGGAGGAGGGGTGGGAGGAAGGGGGAGGAGGAGGGGGAGGAGGAGGGGGTAGGAGGGGGAATGAGAAGGTAGGGGGAGGAGGGGTGGGAGGAGGAGAGGGGAGGAGGGGTGGGAGGAAGGGGGAGGAGGAGGGGGTAGGAGGGGGAATGAGGGGGTAGGGGGGAGGTGGGGTGGGAGGAGGGAGGGAATAAGAGGGGGGAGGGAAGAGGTGAAAAAACACCACCCACGCCCCCACAAAGTGCCGCACGCGCTCGACCAATGGGTGTGAGCGGTAAAGCGGGCTCCAGCTTGGACCAATCACGGCGCGGCTTGCTGTGACCCGCCTTGACCTCAGTTCGAGGAGACTGCCCGGACCGAGCTCCGCCGCTCGCAAGCGTCGCAAGCGAAGGCGTCTCGACCCCCCCATCCCTCCGCTTCCTCTCGGCATCGGCGGCTGGAGACCGATCCACGATGGGGTTCTGGGACAAGGCGGACAACGCCGACCCTCTGCAGAAGACCGTGGAGGCGACGAAAATGGGCGGCATCGTGGGTGAGTGGTCGGCGCGGCTGAAGGAGGCCGCAGGGCGCCCTTGGGGTCCGTCCCAGTGACCGCGTTGTTATGATGGAGGGGAGGGCCCCCTTCTCATTCCCGGCATTTCTCACAACTCCTTGCATCAAAGCATTCCATTGCCCTGACAGGGTAGGCAAGCAGGGGGAATCCCCAGTGGGCAGCTGTCCGTACGCGGAACTTAGAAGAACCGTAGACTCGCACAGACAACAGTGAGTGGACCCATTGACTTGCCTAGATACTCAGACTCGCAGAAAACAATAGACTGTCATAGATGCCCATGGTCTCATATGCTCATGTGCTCGCACAGGGACCCAGTCGTTAGTAAAGTATGGATGTGATGTCGTGCTGACGCCACGAGAGCGCGCCGGGCAGTGACAAGTCTGTAGTCTGTTTGATTATTCACGAAATGTCAAGCCCGTAACAGACAACCCAGGACACTCAACTTAGGCACTACATGTAAATGAGCTGTTCGATGTGTGTGCGTTATAAAGGTTCTCTGCAATGGGTCACATCTTCAACTATCCCTTTAACGCTGTACGCTGCTCTTCGTGGAATCGTGTTGTCGTTAGTGTCAAAATGCTTCCCATTGTCAACTTTGTCATGCGCAGGCTCCAGCTGCAAGCCAACTGTTTTGTCCACTTCGTTGTGAAGAGAGCCATTAATTCAAACATTAGTTTGCAATGTTTTAGTTGCAATGTTGTCGTTATTGTCAAAATGTTTCCCAATGTCAACTTTGTCATGCGCAGGCTCCAGCTGCAAGCCAACTGTTTTGTCCACTTCGTTGTGAAGAGAGCCATTAATTCAAACATTAGTTTGCAATGTTTTAGTTGCAATGTTGTCGTTATTGTCAAAATGTTTCCCAATGTCAACTTTGTCATGCGCAGGCTCCAGCTGCAAGCCAACTTTTGGCCACTTCGTTGTGAAGAGAGCCATTAATTCAAACATTAGTTTGCAATGTTTTAGTTGCAATGTTGTCGTTATTGTCAAAATGTTTCCCAATGTCAACTTTGTCATGCGCAGGCTCCAGCTGCAAGCCAACTGTTTTGGCCACTTCGTTGTGAAGAGAGCCATTAATTCAAACATTAGTTTGCAATGTTTTAGTTGCAATGTTGTCGTTATTGTCAAAATGTTTCCCAATGTCAACTTTGTCATGCGCAGGCTCCAGCTGCAAGCCAACTGTTTTGGCCACTTCGTTGTGAAGAGAGCCATTAATTCAAACATTAGTTTGCAATGTTTTAGTTGCAATGTTGTCGTTATTGTCAAAATGTTTCCCAATGTCAACTTTGTCATGCGCAGGCTGCAGCTGCAAGCCAACTGTTTTGGCCACTTCGTTGTGAAGAGAGCCATTAATTCAAACATTAGTTTGCAATGTTTTAGTTGCAATGTTGTCGTTATTGTCAAAATGTTTCCCAATGTCAACTTTGTCATGCGCAGGCTCCAGCTGCAAGCCAACTGTTTTGGCCACTTCGTTGTGAAGAGAGCCATTCATTTAAACATTAGTTTGCAATGTTTTAGTTGCAAGACTGTTAATAAGAGATGGTGATTTGTTTTATTTCATTTGCTGGGGCAATAGCTTGAGATTGTTTCCTGTATTTTTTCGGATAAACTGAAAATCAAAGTGTCTCCATGCCCAAGGGCCGGGGGAACGCTCATCTCCGTTGGTGACGCTACTTTGGAAGTGACGCATTCCTATGGCCGAGGACAGTCCATTCCACAGGACAACCACTCATTACTTCCTACACGATGGCGTGGCATTTCACTGAACACAGAGAGATGATGAGCCGCTAACACCAAATTTTTTACTTTTACCCTTCCGATTGCCAGTGCCACCGGCCTTTTGTTGTTTTAACAATGCTGTTGTATTAATGTTAGTCGTAGCTTAACGTTTCTATTCCAGGTATGTGGCTCATTGAAGCAACAGGACTGCCACTTGAGTTGTCGATTTAATTATCCCACCCTGGGTCAATTCAGTGTCTTGAGGCAATTGTCAACTTTATGGAGTCTGTACAATAAGAAATACATGATGATATCGCACCACTTAGTGGGCAGTCGGCATTGGTTATACAGTAATTGGTCAACTCTATAGGAGTGTGGAATTTTGATGACTGGTTCGTGACTTCCCACAGAGATAAGCACAGATTAGGACTTGGTGTAAGGACAATAACATTTAAAATTCGGTCACACTTCCACCGAGACTGACGATTGCGAATGAATATTGACATATTAACAGAAAACACCACATTTGATAATCGGGCTTGACCTACTGCTTATTTCACAGTTGATGTTGACTTTATGCCTTGGCGACACAAACAGGTCGGTGTGCGCTCGCAGCCCTCTCATGGCCAACTTCCGACTTCGTCTGGCACTGGCCAATCCGCTTGTGAGAGTGGGATTCCCAGTTTCAGACAATCTTCTGTCCAAAATAAATCCCTATTTTTACTTCTTTTAATGTCGGTATTGCTTAAAAGCTCCAGATCAATACCATTATTTATTAGTATATATATTTTAGCTACTTCCACTGTTCTTCTTGAAGTGCCCAAGTTTGTGTACTGTACAATTGAATGGATAGAACAAAGTATGATATCGCCTAACTTTTGTTGTAATGTTACATTCAGTCACGTGTGAAATGTGAATGTCTTCCAGGTGCGCTTGGCACAGCGTATTACCTCTGCGCTTTCGAGTCCACGACCACGGCGGGTACACTGATGCGGTTTGGGGCAGGAACCGCCGGGATAGGTTCGTGCGCACACCATGCATGATACCGTCTGATTGTATATAAAACGTACAAAGACGTTTTCCTTCAGTTACTCCCTTACCTCATATGCCAGTCAACCAGTCTTTATTATGAGTGTTCAGCACACGAGCTTGGTTTGTCATGTGGAGTTATGTAGCAGGTCATGTGGGGTATTTGAATGAACATAAACACAAGGTGTTAGCAAAATACCCTTTAAAATAAATTCTTACATTATTGATACGTTGCACTAAATTGTGCATGAACTGCTTGTTTTATTTATGCAAGTGAAATGTGAATGTTATGCTGTGATATAAGGCTAATTGAGTAAATAAGACAAAACATGAGACTATACAAGAATCAGATCTCGTGTCAGATGCTGACTCCTAATTAGGTTAAGCATGAGATGCCAAGTATGTACTGTGGTGCGTGTTTGTATACTCAGCCGCCCTCGGTGCCATCTTCAGCGTGGGCACGTGCCTCAGCGCTCAGGTCCTGAACGAGCCTGACAACGCTTTCAATCACTTTGTCGGAGGCTGCAGCGCTGGCCTGGCTTTAGGCACCCGAGGTGAGTTTGTGGATGGGTGCAAGTCTTGAGAGCATGGCACTGGGTTTGCCAAGCAATGCTGTCCATTTTCCCTTTTTATTTGCAGTCATCCCTGTGTATTTAATAAAATGTTTTAGGATATTTGTGAACCTATTTCATGCAAAAAACTTTTCTGTTTTGTTGCAGCCCACAGTTTCAGCGTGGCATCTATGGGCTGCGTTACATTGGGCTCTCTGGGCGTGCTCGCAAAGGTCGGCCACCGGGAGGGCTGGCGTTTCATTGCGCCAGCGCTAACGCAGGCTGAAGTAGACGCGCAAGCGATTGCCCCTTCACCCAAGGCATCGCATTAAGAGGATGGAATCGTTTCAGAGTTCAAGGGCAGACATGCATGCACACACCGACAGACACCTGGTGTGAATACACACATAGGCACTTGGATATTGAAGCGTGCAGATTTACAATCTTCCTGTATGTGCAGCACATTCAAAGTCACTTACACAAGTTCTAATGAAAGATAAGTTGACAAAGACATGTTGCCATTTAACCACATTGTAAATTTTGCCTTGTAAAGAAATCATCTTGAAAAGATGGTTGTCGTATATTGTACTGAATCCTAAATAAAGGTGAATACAACAAATGAAATGCGTACTGATCAATGACCAATCAGCAATGGTAACCTACAGTGTTTTGGGATGTTTAAAAAATGTTAAATTATGTCAGTCTTTACATTTTAAACAAGGTTAATTATGTATATTATAATGAACTACACATCCTGGACCAACTACTGTGGTGCAACGAAGAACTTTGAAGGATACCGAAAATATTTCCTACCATAGGTTTTGTGTATATGCAAAACAAACCCACCTCCATTAAAATACATTAGAGCACTTAATATTCACAGTAACTTGATTCCAATGTAACATTTACATTTTTATTTTTTTAAAGCAAGTGCAATAACCATTATACAACAGCTGACAAATACAGAACGATAATACATTTGTCATTCATTAATTGTATACATTTTTAAATACAGAATTAGTCTACAACACCTTCTCGCACTGACATTTAGGGAGTGTTGTCCCTGCAGATTAAGGAAAAGATGAGTCTGGCACTATTCCAACCGATTTGAATCCAAGCTTCCAGTCAGACTTTCCTTGGTACATCACTTAGTAGTCCTTTACAATTTTAGCTTATTTAGCATTCAGCTGATAAAATGAAAGAATGCCAGTTCTGTAATTATCAAATAGGGTTTAGGGGTCGGGATTTTATACATATGCTAATTGTACTCTTTGGTTCTTTCGGTAAAATCACGTAGGTGAAAAAATAAATTAAATGACGTTCTGGACGCAACACAAGCGCCCGAAACGTGATTAAAATTTTTTTTCACCTACGTGACTTTACCAAAATAACCAAAGAGTATGGATCCTTGCAGTCACGAAAACTTCAAATCTAGAATATGCTAATTGTTGAAATGGCACGTGGTCTCCAGCCTATCAGAATGTTATTTTTGTACAATACTGGACGTCTGAAAAAAAAGAGCTTCATAGCTTATCGGATTCCTCCAGTCTAAATAAAATATCCGCTATATAACCAATATAAATGGTCTAGAAACTACTATTAAGATACAGCCTCAAAAGTGTAGCTTTTAGATACAGTCCTGTAAATCATTTGCTGTGCAACACGTGTATAAAGCTTCATTAGTCAGAATGAACATTCGGTCAAGTGCATCATTGTACTCGTAATGTCACTGCTACTCAAGTAGGTGCATCATGACAGCGATGCCAATATAGCATATAGTGGCCAGGTTTTGAAGCCTATTTTATGAAGTATACACCACCTATGTACATATTTAAAAGAACTTAGTTTTTTCCGTTTCTTATTTAAATCCTGAGAAGTGTGTACATTTGTGTCGGCAAACCCAACGAAGACATTAAAACACAGTTGGCATGGAGGTAGCAAAAAGGAATTGGGTACAACTGTCATCTTTTGAAATGGTATTCTATTCGAGGTGACCTTTCAAGTTGTAGTAATACACCCCTTGGCTATATTAACTTAAACATGTTGTTGTTCCATGCACCCGAGATAGAGCCTTGAAAGACGGCTTAAGCATCATTGCTGAACTCTGCAACATGGATGGACTGGTTTCTGACAGCCAGCCATGCTACGGAAAGCTGTATTGGTTGGTGCTTTTGGGGCGAACGGCAGCCACTCTCGCCAGCCTTTGCTGTGTCTGCAGAAGAACACACATGCAGCACCGCGTTACAAACACTACATCAAGCACAGGTTACTTTTGTCTGCATACTATACGGTACATCTACAGACCACGAGGGGGAATGACAACGGAAGGCCTTCACCCAGAATTCGGTTAGACCGACTCAAAATTGCTTTAGTGGTCTGACGCCACAATTTCAACTTAATGTGCGTGTCCATGCACATGTAAACACCATTTAATACACGCATGACATTACATACTCTTACCTCTAGGAAGCTAGTATTGAGGTCCTTCAGAGAAGAGTGGTACTGCAAAATCGCCTGGTGATGCTTCTGGATCTCCATTGCTTCTTCTTTAAGCGTCACTGTGATACGGAACACAAAGGGGCAGAAGCCCCTTGAGCGACATTTACACAACCTGCTTCTTTGTAATTCGTTTTGCAAACCTCGCGAATGACGACCCAGATGGAGCAACGAAAGCCAGCTCGCCTGCAGGAGCAAATAATAGGAGTTTGCACGATATTCTGTCCCGTGGATAACAAGGGTCGCCGATTCTAGGAATTCCTTAACATATCGAGTGCAACTAACAAGCTTTTGGTGTTCAACAAACACGCAACGACATATACAGTCCTGCACATTGCGTGTATATGAACTCGAGCTGAACGATTAATCGATTTCAAATCGAAATTTGAAACAATGCGATTAGCAAATCGCGATTTTTAGCGATTTGAAAAGTCCTATTTCTTATTGGAATTGTTTTATTTTGTATTATAACTTTATTTAACTCAATTGTTCTGTTTGATTGTTCTATTTCAATTACAGCATTTTAATAAATACATGTTGGAAGCAATTAATATATTTTAAGTTCTCATCCATGCATTAGAATATATAGAGCAGTTCATATTTTGATGGTATCATGTGGTAATGCTCCATCACGTTTTAAATCTATTACACAGTGAACATTGAACTCAAGCTTGACTTAGATTTTTGTTTATAAAAAATAAAATCCCAATGTCAGAAAAATCGCAATTGGATATTTCCCCCAAATCGCTCAGCCCTAATATGAACCTACGGTATGGGAGACTGTTATGGTATTCTATGCGGCGTTCGTACCCGGTCAAACTAAATTAACTTAAGCCTAGTGTCGTGGTCAGACACCACCTTGAAGTTTCGTTCACGATAACAAACGCTTAAAATACACGGTCAGTCGTGCCAATAGGCCTCGAGTTCCGCCACTGAATTGACGTTGAATATAACTTGAATTAGAGGTTTGTCAATTGAGTTTAAATGTCTTTCCTTTTACAACAGACCGACTAGTACCGATCCAGGCACAAATCAACGCCATAATCTCGTAGAGAAGTTACACGGCATTACCATGGCGAGACATATACAATACTTATCCAGACAATCGCTGTCGTTTCACTTTCCACGAAATGGTACTTAGCTTTATCGACCCGCATGAATTACGGTCTGGGATTTGCACCCTTCGCATCGTTCCGCTTACAAGTCGGGCTCGAGGAAGCCAAGCACGAAAGTGTAGTAACTTTAATAATAATAAACACAAAACTGAACTATATTCTTGGTTCTTTCGGTAAAGTCACGTAGATAGAAAATAAAAATTAAATTATAAATAAAAGCTAAAACCACGACGTTTCGATCGCAACACAAACGGTCTTCATCAGGCCGAGAGAAAGAGGATGAAAGCCTCCAAATACAACTGCTTATAAGCGCTTCCAAACTTGATTTGAAGCTTTAGTGACTGCAGGAATTACTTTAAAAGTTGAGCAAAGCTGTGTATTTTTAAAGCCCTTAGAAGCAGTGGCATTTGGAGGTTTTCCCCTCTTTTCTCTCCGCCCGATAAAGACCGCTTGTGTTGCGATCGAAACGTCGTGGTTTTTAGCTTTAATTTTCTATCTACGTGACTTTACCGAAAGAACCAAGGATATGAATTCCTGCACAACACAACGGAACTATAATACATTGACAATGCGCTGACCCAAGAGCTCCTGAATCCGCTGATAATCCTTTTTGTACTTGGGTGTCGAGCTTTCGTCCATAGCGCGCTTCGTAACGATGCTAACGACTCAACAAAAACCGCGTAAAGAAACGAATTAGCGCGATAGAACAAGAATAAGCCGACAAACTTCTGTATTGGATGAGATAAGAAGCGGGCGGGGGGGGGTGAGGTTTGTATACGAAAAAAATTGGCGGGAACGAGTAACAAAATGGCGTCCGTCGCTAAGTGCGCATGCGCGGTGGGGGTAGGGGGGCGTGGCCGCGTGACGTAGGTCGCCATGGAGACGCGGGAAGCCGGAAGCGAGGAGGGAGAGAGAATGGAGGCGTTGGGATCGGGTCCCAAGGAAGAGCGAACGAGTCTCGGGGCGGAGATCGCGCAGCAGCGGCAGATGAAGTGAGTCGTGAGTCCGCGGCGAGCCCGAGGGCTTGCGAGGCGTCGTGGGGGCGTGGTGGGGTGGTGGTGAATACAGGGCGACGGATTCTGTTCTGGACCAGAAGCAATTTCAGTACCGCGATGTTAATCGTAAACAGCAGCAAGAATCGAAATCGCAAGTTAGCGATTCCTGGTATCGATTCCGTTCAACGTTTTCTTATGGGGTTGGAATCGAACATGACTTGTAGGAATCGATTCACGTTCGCACAGACGTCATTTCATGGGACCTCCGTTGCCAGTTCCAAAATATAAGAATAGGTTTTACCCTTTTTTTCTGGCAACAAATCTGAAACCTTTTTACAAGGCATCATGTCTGCATTAACCACAATACCCGTGGTCAGAATGCTAACAAAAAACACACTGGTAATATGCATTAAATCTTGATTTATGCATTTCCCTTGAAACTGATTGGTCCACACCAGAGACAGCTTTCTTTTGAGCCTCGTCTCAAACGGTGCTAGACCAGAGGACGCCAAAAGGCGTACAGCTCAAAGACAATGCCACTATCAGAGTAATGAGAGCTCGGGGTGAGCATCTACATCATGGGACCTCCTTTGCCAGTACCAAAATATAAGAATAGGTTTTCCCCTTTTTTCTGGCAACAAAACTGAAACCTTTTTACAAGGCATCATGTCTGCATTATCAGAGTGTGTTTTTGTTTGAATTCTGACCACAGGTATTGTGGTTAATGCAGACATGATGCCTTGTACAAAGGTTTCATCTTCTTGGTTCTTTCGGTAAAGTCATGTAGAAGGGAAGTAATACAATAATAAAAATAAAACATAATAAAATAATTCTCACGACGTTTCGGCCACAACGCAAGCAGCCGTCCTTAGGTGAAAACCAGGTCTGTCGAGGCGACAGCGTCTGAAAAGGTTTCAGTTTTTTTTTGCCAGAAAAAAGGGGAAAACCTATTCTTCGACGTAGTATGTATTGATACTGTTGGAATCCGATGAGCTCTAAAGCTCTTTTTCACAGATGTCCAGTAGGAGCGGGTCAGAACGTTACAACAACAAACAATACAAAAAACACGATAGGAGTGCAATGTTTCGGGAAGGTAAACAAATAACTTTTCAAAATATCTTTCCAGGTAAAGCCCACTGAGCGATTAACTTATTTTTCAGAAATGACCTGAGCATTTATAAATACCTTCCAACTAAGTAAAAAAATGTAACGCTATACATTTGTCAGTGGCCATTGGTTATCTGAAAGACATTGGGAACGTATTGCTTATACAATGTCGCCTGACGAAGCTAGTTGTAATTACTGGCAACGTCGTACTCAGATTGTAAATGTTGTGGCTTTGCTCTCCAACACACCGGTGTGCTGTACTAGTAACGAATTTTGATGTTCTGTTTACATGACAAACCTTACTAATTGGATGTATCGGGTGGTAGCGGGTTTAACGACACATTTACGTGATCTAACCCACAAAAAAACCTGTATTATGAATATTTGTACAATCCCTTCTCTAAGCATCCACCTCCATGTACGCTCACCAGAAGCGTTGCTGTTGAACAATGACCCCACTCGGATGAATTTGTTGTACATATGTTGAACTTCGTTCGCACCGTACGTAGTCAACCGTGCTAATCGGAGGTGCAGGGGAAGGACAACAAACTAAACACAAAAAGCAGTAAATGCTTGTTTTCCATTTGTCTGTCCGTATGTGTGCGTGCGTGGTCAGGATGATGTTGGAGATTTCCATTAAGGAGTTGCAAAAGACGGCCATTGAGATGGAGAAAAGGCTGGGACAGGTGGAGGAGGAAGGTGAATATTGAATTCAGAATCATAATCTTTGTTTAGCATAGTTTGTCTCCATGAACAGTGAGGCACTCGTTAGACCTTAAGGAATCCTTGACATCCTTTTCAAGAGTAGCCCATCGTGTGCCGATTAGTACGGTTGGCTACGTACCATGTAAAAGAAGTTCAACATACATACAGGGTCTAAATTTGCCAAGTAAAAAAATTACACTGCAAATTAATCAACAGGGATTCCACGTAGCAATCATCGCCCCCCTACTGGCAGACTAATTCCCCAGGTAACTTTTGCAACTGAGACTACCGTATATCCTGGTCTCTTGAGTTCTCATCTGGTTTAACAAAATTAACTTGAAAGTTGATATTTATTTGAGGTCGTCAATTGCTGGTGGATACTCTATAATTCCATACATTTCATGTTATAAAGTAAAAGTCAAACGTTAAATGTTAATATATAATGGCCGTTTTCTCAATTGATTCAGATTGTGCTATTATACATAACAGTTCATTTTGGGGAGAAAAAAATACATGTCAAAACGCGTATTATATACTGGACTACTTATGAAGAATCCTTTAAGTAGACCTTTTATCCTTTCCACAGGAGGTGGCGCACTTTTACACAATCCATGAGCTTGTCGAATGACAGGCCAATCGAGCTGGAATTTAACCAAATGACAGTGTGTGCAAATTAAACTTCAATATATTTACATGTGTAGTTACTGTAACCATTAACTAGATACACTTGAGAACCTTGCTTACTTATGGGCTGCTATCTGGATTCGAACCCACATGTACTGTAAACAGAATTGTTTAGTGTGTGCCCACATGCTGTTAGATGTATATCCTATGTTACAAATGTTTTATTATGTACGATGAATACACGCATTAAGAATGTACAATAGATCACTTAGTGGAGTGGTGGGATACATTTAACCCTCCATCATCTCTCAAAATATCCGAGCACAGCTGCCTTGAGCCGCAAGCCTTTCCACGGCAGACACTGATGTGAGACAATTCCCGGCAGGGTGCGAGTGGCGGACGCGGTACGAGACGCAGCGAGAGCTCAACGAGCGTCTGCGGCTGCAGCTGGAGGAGATGAGGACGAAAGTGAAGGAGGGCCGTGACACCCTGAGAGGTGCTGCCAGGCCACCGTGGCTCAATACGCATTTCTCCCATGTGTCTCGGTGGCGAGATGTTAATTCCCTCGCCTGGTATACAGGAGATCGGTGGGTTCGATCCGAATCCTGACGCCTGTAAATTTGAAGTTTACATGTCACTCGCCCCGTGGTCGCATAGATTTTTCTCCGGGTCCTCTGGTTTTTCCCTCCACATTAAGATAAAAGCATTTTAGAGTATTTTCCTGCTATACATTTCTATGTTGAGCTATCATTTGTAGCCAGATCGCTTCTAAGAAAAAGCTATATAGCTCAGTGGGCCTTACCTGGTAAAATAAAATTTGTTTTAGTCTGGTCATGTATGTATGGACTGTATTACGTTAAACTGCTTTCGCACCGTATGTAGCCAACCGTGCTAATCGGAAGTTCCGTGGAAGGACAATAAACTAAACACAAAATCAGTTATCATGTTGTGGTGTGGTGGTAAAGCACACTACTGAAGGCTCATCGGTCTCTGTTAGTGCGATGATTACCCAAGGTTCCATCTCCCTTTGGTACTTGTACGATGTTCAGGATCCTGCAAGACTAGAGGTGTTGTGGCATTAATGGGATTAGACATTATGACCTTGACTTTTGCCTATTCAAGTACAGTAATTGAAACTGACACAGTCCTTCTGCTGGCTAGAGTGAAAACAGATTTCTCTGACTCTCAAAGTGCAGTGTGACATCCTTAGCAATGAGTAAAACATGTCATGGATTGTCTTGAATTTCTGAATTTGATTACAGTCTTGGTTGAGGTAAGGGGATGTTGGAAAGAATTTTAGAGTTGGTGGACTAAGTTCAGTGGGATTGTCTGGGGATGGATGAGAAAAATGTGAGTACACCCTGCAACCAGCGGGTAATGTACACGAGTGTGTTTCTAACCGGATGCTGTTAAACAAAACTCTTCTTAATGTACAATGTATATAAACGGCAAGGACTGTACAGTCTTGTGGTATGGCCTCATTGCTGGTTTAAAATGAAAAATGTATGTTGTTGCAGAGAGGTCAAATGTCATGCAGGGATATAATCAGCAGTCGAAGGTAAGTGTGACTTCTCTGCTTATTCAGTTTGACTTTCTGTCAAATAGAGGGCACTGTAGCGACACTGCCTCATCTTTGCACACAACAGCAGATATGAAGTAGCAGCTGTAAATAATGATGTACTGTATTCTAAAACTGTTGGCCTTGTCTCCTATACGTGTTCTTTGCAAATGGATACATCTTTATCACGTGGTTTTGTAGGTTGCAGTATTGTACATTATTGGATTTTCCATCCATGTTAGTTATACATTTGTTGACATAGATAATATTTTATGTAGACTGTAAATAGTAGTTGATGTGCGTTTTTGAGATATTTTCATCTTAATTAGCAGTAGATTGCATTTGTATAAACTGCTGACGCAAGTGCTGTGTTGAGTGCATTTTAAGAGGGTTAATGCTGTGCTGATGTGACCACTTTGCTGTCTTGACAATCAGGAAAGCCTGAAGCAGCTGCTTTGGAAGAAGGAGGAGGAGCGGCAGAGTCTGCAAGAGACGCTAGTGGATTATGAGTGGCGCATTGCACAGGAGGCAAAGGTAAAAGACCATGTACAAGGGGTGACACGAGAGGAACAAATTATTTTATATGGCTCTCTGATGAATGCGATATCATGCCGATTCCTTTGCAGTGGTTCAGGACTGTTACGTGTCCGTTAGGTTTTTCACCTGACAACAGAAAAAGGTTCTCCAAGCAATTATGTATGTTGAACTTATTTCGCATCATACGTAGCCAACCATGCTAATCGGAGGTGCGGGGGAAGGACAAAAAACTAAACACAAAAATTTGTTCTAAAGAAATTAGTTTACAATTTATATTTCAAAGTAAAGTGCATATCAAGGGTCGAATTATTTCCAAAAACAGCTCGTCAATGATGGTTTAACCATGTAATTAAAATTACTCGAAGAGTTGAATTGATTTTGAAGATGCCCCCATGTTGATTGTAGGTAAGAAAAAACACAAATTCCATGAAAACCAAATACACCTACACACAAGTGGCATTCTCTGCAAGTGAATGAAAACAGGCGAATGAAGCTCGGTATGAGCTCACTGCTCGGGGGCAATTCTTCGCCTTAAGAGACTGAACGCTCATTTTAAGTATTGGACTAAGGGGTGCTATTTAAGTCCATACACTGGTCTCAGTTATTTTATTTTCCATCTAAATTCACACATTTTTAATGATAAAAACGGAAATAAATATTTGAAATTTATATCATGTTGTGATTGACAGCTAATAACAGTACTTCACTTTTGCAAATATTTTGAGGCAAAACAACACTTGGTAAAAATGACGTCAGTATTATGTTGTGACAAGATTTTTAACAGAATGACGGTGTAGGGTAAGATGTAATGTTGTCGGTTACAATCTGCTTATATTATGTCCTAGGCATACCACAAGGTAATAAATGAAAAGAGAGAAGTACTCAACCAGTTGGGAGAGGTAAGTGCGTGCATGTGTTCAATACAGTACCAGTTTAAGTTAATTCACTTTCTATATTAGTGGCAATAGCCAAAGGTGATTGTGAACTTATTGTAAATGCGAGGTGGTGCCAATGCATGCCTGCGTCTTGTTCTTTCTCTGTCATGGTTGGCTGTCGGGGAAAGACGATGGACATTTCGACAAGGCAAAAGAAGGTGCAACCAGCAACAGGACCACAGGACCTTGAACGTTCCAAACGGTACGCAATGCAGATGTGATGTTGGCACTCGTATACCATTAATACATTCCTAAATAGTTTCTTTAGATCGGCGCTTTATGAGCTGCAGTCTTACTTACTTATGCTTGTTGACCCAATAAAAGATGCTTGTAATATATTATCATGTAATAGACATTTGATAAGTTTATACAGGTGGAAGGGGTGGTGTGGTGTTTATTTTATTTTGCAATGAACCCGGCAAACAAATTCCTGTCCATGGCTAACATCAGTGAATAGTGATATCTTAACTGGTCCTGGGCACTCCTTTCAAGAATGTGCACTGACCACGATCGTGAAATATGGTCAAATAACTTCCCTAACTTACACAGTGTGTTGAGGACTTCATCCAGCAGTGGATGAACAAAGGGCTTAATATTATATTTTTGATGAAGTTTTCTGAAAAGTTATGAATAAACCCTGGGCTTTACCCAGGAAAGTCTCAACTGCTAGCTATGATTAGCCAGTTATTGAGTGTTTGTGTGTGAAATACAGAGAGCCTGGAGAAAAGCCAAGCATACAAGGGGCTAACATAAAAAATGTAAATCCATAGATAGTTAAACAGCTTACTTGCTATCATACCTTAATAGCAAGCATATGTTTTTTATTCCAAAAGTAATGAAATACTTACAGTTGGACCATATTTTTTTTAATTTTTGCTGTAGAAAAGGGCGGCCTTCTCAAGAAGGTGGCCATGAACCGACCGACTCTGGAGGGACATGGCTCCCTCAGCTACCAGCGGGGGCTCTGCCACGGTGAGGACGCTCACAGCTCTATTGCAGACACACTGCCTGCTGGCTTGTTCCTGCCCTACGACAGCTTCTAATGCAGAGCTCATGGCTAGAGAGCACTTTGTCCCCAGCACCTGCACTGAACCTCGTGTTGGATCATGTGTCTAAGAGCTGGTAAATATTTGGGAACTTGCAGCTATATTTGACTCACAAAGTTGTTGTCTCATCAGCTGGACAGATGTAGTTGCAGCGTCTGTATTGTCCACTGGAGGTTTCTACCCTCACTCAAACATACCAGTGGTATGAAGCATTGTTGCAAATGTTAGACATGTGGCATTGATTACTATCATTTATGCATCTCATTCTACATGAGAAATTATGTTTAAAAAATGCCTTACCTCAAAATAATAATCAACTAAGTCCATGACTGGATTACACTCTCCCTAATTTCCAGTGAATATTTCCATTCTCATGTAACGTAAATGACACGCACAAATTCATATCCATCACCATGGCCTTGCAGCACAGAAATTAACCATTGTTTTGTCATTCACAGCAGAGCACATGGCGTGACGACGCAGCAGCAACATCGGCAGCAGACAACTTCAGAGCCCCAACAAGGTCCCATAAGGAGACGCCCACACGGGAATCAGCTGCCGAAACTGGGAAAATTCCAGGCCCCCGTTGTTCTGTAGAGGACATGGCAGCTTGTGGCTATAAAAGTTCGTGCTGACACGATGTTCACATCATTCGCTGAATGTCAGACCCGTTGTGTGCTGTGCACACGCCTGCCCATGTGTGATGTCAGTTCAGTTAAGAACATTTTGTAACGTTGGGTGATTTGTACTGCATAGCAACATGTATAGGACAAATAATGAAAATGTTCATTGTGCCAATGCACAGGTTTATCTGGTTATATTCACGTTTGTTAAATATATTACATAAATACAGTTTACATTTGTTTTTTAAAAGTTTTTATACACTGATGTAGTAATATCAATTTGTTGTGGCTTGAAAAATATAACGGACACTTGTTTAAAAGTGCAAAATAGGACAACATTTTGAGCTGTCAAACCTGCATACTTAAGTTATATGTACAATTGATCACGTATTTTATGAGATTGATGGGCATTAGTTAAAGTCCCACTTTAAATAACACTTTCAAAACTAGAATTGTATAGAAGAGCTGTTCCCAACCTCTGGATCATGGACCACTCACAATCCGAAAGGCTGTAAGAAGTGGTCTGCAGAACTTTTATCTTTTTCACAAAACACCATGTATTTCATTTACTTTCATTGAACAATTATTTAAATTACTCAATTCAAGGCAAGTTATTAATTTTTATGGATTTTTCATGAAACATTTTGGAGTTGTTTTCATGTTTACAAACATTATTGGCGCATGCTGGTCTGCAAAATTTGAGGGTCCAGAAAGTTCAGGAATCACTGGACTATAAAAGGACCCCTATACCATGGAAAGTCAGTTGTGCGGCTTGTCTTCCAGCAGTGTTAGCCTGTGGAGCATCTCCATGAGTGACAGGTTGTGTCCAATTACATACATTTACAATTCGTGGCAATATTGCAGGGGCCATGCTGTTACCAGTCAAGCAAGGCTTCATTTTTGCAGTAGGTTCTCATTGCAAGGCTAGTCGGGGTGAGCATCGATTGCAGGACCGAAGCCACCCTTCATAGCAATCGACTATGCTGGCTTTATTGTAACAAATGCGCTGCACCTGGCTCCTTCAATGTACCAGCTGAGGGGTGGAATCTGGCGGGGGTGTGAGGTCAAGGGCCCCCTCACTCCAGAGTGCCCTGCAACTGGAGCGCGTGGTGTACCGTTTGGTATTTTGTTAAATCACTGAATTGCGAGTGTTTAAATCCATTGTGAGTTTTATTTGCCGTTGAAGTATTTAAGTGTTGTGATTTTGCATTGCGATACAATTTGGATGCACTGTATTTAAATGACCGCATCTCAAGATGCTGCACGGACACAGTAGAGGGCTGTGTATTGTTTCATGTTTGTTCTACCCCCTATACGGTATACTTAAGTCTACCCGAACGGTGAAATTTCAAACCGATGACCTGGACCTTGCTGTCGTTAAAACGTCTCACTTGTCAATAAAAAGGCAGATGTGCCCCAACTGTTTACTTTGTATTTTACAGTCATAAGGCAATGGGACTTACAGAATGTGGTGAACACTTGTAATCTGTTCATGCACCCCCCAAAGTACTTAAATTATTATTCAGGATAAATCGTATTGAATAAAATGTGTTGCGTATATCTTTCATGTGGAGAGCCAGGTGAATTAAGCACGAGGTGTGTATGGGCTAGCATGGTGTGTATATATGTGAATGACTGAATATGTGTATACCTGTGCTTGTATTTCTGTATGTTTATGTGTAATTACACTCGTGGACAACTGAGTTCAAGTATGAAGTATTTTATTTAACCAGGTGAGAACTCAAAGAGACCAGGTTGAGTCTCATTTGCAAGGGTGACCTGGGTCACCAAAAAGACAAAAGCCAGAACAAAGCAAAGAAGAAGTAAAAGCAATCGGAACAAAACACACGAGGGTTCGAAAATAATTAAACGAGAAATGAACGTTAAATACCAAAGCTAAATATAAAATCCCTGCAGCGCAAATCGTGTTTGGTAGGTTACTTCCAGATTTATCATAGCACAAGTTACAAATCTAAGCTACAGAAAAGTTAAACAGATATAGGTTTTCAATATTATTAAGTAAACAAAGATATATCACGAAAGCAATTCCAAGTGAAGTGTCACAAATAATCGACTGAAACATTTCCCTGTAAACAAAGCACCTGCACAGCATCGTGTTAAACTGCTCGAACGTAATTTGTACAGAATGGGGGCACCTCTGTAGATAAGAGCACGAACCAAATCACCTTGATATGAAGCACCTGCGTAGACACCTGCAACACAGGACGGTGTCTCCTCTGATTATTTAGACGGGAGCACGTGTCCCAATTCCACACGCGCACAAGGCACATGCCGCACCCTCTCTCTGTGCTGTGCCAGCCCAGGAAGACAGCACACGGTTGTCCGTGCCATCTTATCAGCACCGAACTGCACGACACAAGTGTTGCAAGAAGAAGACGATCCCCCCCACCCCAACACGCAGCGAAGAAGAGGTAGTCATGAGCACGGCCTCCAGTGACGCAAACGCGGCCTCTTCGCGTGCAACTGGGGCCACGGACGTGAGTTTTGTGGCTTTTTTGGATGGTTCGTTTTAAATGGCAGCAAAAGCAGCACGCGTATCTGCAAACCAAACACGCGTGCCTTTGTTTGCTGGAGTTGTGTCGCTGAACACTGGGTCCGGGTAGAGCTGCGACTGCACAACGCACGTGTGCGTCGCGAGCACGTGGGCGGGGGTGGGATTTAAACGCCGTTGTTAACCGCGGTGGAGTTATTTATCTGTGTAGATGGGATTTGTTTGGCCGGTGTCGCATTCACCTTGAGTCTCGCAGGGGACAGCTGCCATCGAGGGTTGCCTGCCTGAGGATGCCTTGATGCATTGTATTGGGAGGTGCGGTAAATATAAATGTGTCGGTTCACCCACCACCACCCGACACAGACGATAGGTAGGGTTTGTCGCGTAAACAAAACGTGCCAATTTGTTACCACTTCAGCACATCTCGGTGTGTTGGAGAGTAAATCCACAACATTTTAAATGTGTGGCTGTACCGTACTCAAATCGTGTGGATTTACTCTCCAACACAACGTTGTGCTGAAGCAGTAACTAATTGGCACGTTCTGTTTACGTGACAAAACTCACTAATTGGCTGTGTCGGGTGGTGGTGGGTTCAGGACACACGTATATTAACGAAATCTAACCCGAAGAAGACCCTTTATTATGGAGTCTTTCCCTCTAAAGCCAAGCGGCATTGCAAGTACTAGGGATATTGGTAATAAAACTGCATCGGCATTGTACCAGGGCTTACCCGTAGTGTGCTCATGTGAGTTTTGTGCTGTGTTAACGCGTAGTGGAAATGTGATTCCGATGAAGATTTGATCACATAAGATGAAAGCAATAAACCCTGAACAAACATTTCCGTATTTACATGGTTTAAATAATTTTTTTGTCATAGGATACAAATTAAGTGAAGTGTTTTTTTTTGGTAATTTTCATAAATTCAGATAAATCTAAGATTATTCTATAGACGTAAATGTACGTACAGTATAATTTAACGAAGAGTGTGCTGTTATGCATTGCAGTAATGTGTTTTGTACGATCATTTAAATGCATCTTGGGCAGCATGAGTTTGAAATGCAAGTGGTATTCCGTGCTACACGGTATTGTACAATTTAACGTTTACGTTTCTTAATTACAAAAGTGTGCTTTGTGGTAAAGGATGTATCTTGCACCGTCGCAAGGCAGCGCAACTTGTCGGTAAAGTTTAATTAAATCGTCAATTTGCTCGCTTTAATGGGACATTAATTTGTAAGATTCTGTGTGTAATAACACAACTCAACACATTTAAGGACTAGTGTTGACCGAAACGTGACCAATTATACAGGGTGCTTTAAAAATGTTAACAATTATGGGACTTGGTAATGGCAAAAAAACGGATAATACACTAACATGATAACAAATGTATGTTCAAAGCTCCATCATTGTCAACCCATACCTGGAATCTTCTCCAGGTGGTCTCCAAAGCCCGGAGGGGCATTGATTGTGGTATTATCGCAAATTCTCAGAAGTGTTAAAACATTTTGAAGCACCCTATGTGTTCCTTTTAAGGCCGCAGTGTTAACGATGGCTGTGTTAATTGTCCTTGTTGCACTACTGCCTAAGGCAACAGCAGCATCGCCGACTCATAACCCAGTCACTTGAAAGTGCTTCCTGAAGTTACATCCAGGGCTTAATTTCATCCAGAGCTGTTTGGGACAGAATGACGGAAACTGTCTTGCCTCCCCCCTTCATCCCTGCCTATCATGGATCCGAGGAGTTGGTTGCAACCCCAAGTGGCCAGTGGGTGGGAGCAAGACGGTGCGAAAGAAGTTCAACATCCATATAACCAGGGAGACGAGACATTGGGAGGGGATTTCTGTGGCTGCACTGCAAGGGAAGAAGCGGGACGAAAAGCGTCTTCTACCTTCAGTCTGGTGGTTGAACACATTGTGGATGAGACAAAGCAGTTTTTTTGTAGACCGAGCCTTCAATGTAGGCAGAATAACCGAATGACTGTGTTAGTCCCATGGGCCAGAACAGAAATTTATGTCACCTAAGGTAGCAATACACATGTATTTACACATGTATTTACATGTATTTACATGTGTATTGCTACCACAGATATGATCACCCCTCTCTGTTACCTGTGTTGCTCCCTCTATGTATCTTGGTGATATCTGTCTGCTAATATGTCTGTCTATAGTTTTCTGGTTAGATTTTATGTCGCTATTTCATTATACCTGATGATGATTGCTTGTGTTGCAATCGAAACGTCGTATGCTATTATTTAATTTAATTTATTATTTTATCTTTAGACGTGACTTAACCGAAAGAACCAAATAATAATTCCTGCAGTCACGAAAGTTCTAAAATTAAGAATGTATTTATACAGTTTAGAATCGTGAATTATATGATAACCCACTCATTTCAAACAGTTATCACACAATTCACATTTTTTTGGCCCAAAAATAATTGTAACTCGCTAAAGTTATGCTACCTCGGTACCAACAAATACAACCGAATAGCTGCTCTGAGCTCACGAATTACGTGCGTGTGCGCAGGCGTGCCTGCTGATGGTGGGCCGACTCAGATGGTGCCAGGAGGTGGCCTGGCGCGTGCAGAACGCGCTGCCGCCAAGGGCGCAGTCGCTTCGGCTGGAGTGGAGCGAGGCCCTGAGCGCACCACAGCTGTGCGCCCGCCACCCCTTCGCTCTGCTGCTGCTGGAGCTGGCGTCGCGGGGACAGGCGCGCCACGCCGCGCTCCACGTGTCCTGCTTCGTCAGGTCACCGTGGGCACCGGGCGAGCCAGCGCGTGGGACAGGATCGGGAGAAGCAACGTGTCTTGGGCTCGAGGACAAACAAACCATTCTGGGGTTTCGGGAATGTACCGTGCGCCCTTGAAATAGAAAACTAATTCAGGGAGTGGGGTGCACTGACCTGGTCACGTTGCTATCACAATATTGGCACCAAGCCTGGGTTATCGCAGAGCAGCAGCCGTTAGCTTTGTGTCCTTTATTTAACCAAGGTGTGAGCCGATTAAGTTTGGGGCCAAGTTCATGTTATTTGTGGAAAGGCATTTTCTGAGGAATTCTAATGGTCCTTGTGGAATTACTGATTATACAAATGCAATGTACTGGGCTTGTGGTTTATGATATTTGGGGATTGTTTTAGATAGAGATGGGAAAGCCTGTAAAATATTTTAATGAATTGTACATTTTTGTGGTTGTGCTGGCACGATTTTTAAATGTGGTCCCAAATAGACAGTGCTAAAAGTCTGTGTTTGTAATGTTTTTATTTAGTTGTTTTTGAGTTTGTAGTGATTTTTAAGTTGCTGTTTTTCAGATATGACAGCAAGATAAACGAGAAGACACCAATTATAGGAGTTCAAAGGTCAAATTGTACAGGTTGGACATTTAAGATTGAGAGACAAAACAGTTTTCAGTGTATGATAATAGAGCAATAATAGTTTATATATATATAGAAATGTTTACTTGGTTATCTGACGAGTGTGTATGTTGTCTCATCAGATAATTTGTCTGCGTTCGGCATTGATGACACAGTTGAGTGTCCATTAACGCAGCAGGCAATACAGAGGATCCTCACAAAGTGGACTTCGCTTGCGCTATGGGATAGCTTCCAGCAAATCCCTCCGGCTATCCAAAACACTGGCCCCAGCCAAGGCAACTCCACGGAAAACACATCGATAAGGTAACACCTTTGTGTTCACCAATATCTGGGGCAAAGTTTGAATGCCGTTCCAAACGTGCTTATCTCTCCTCCCTGCATTGTTTATTTGACTGAATGTCAAAACATACCATCATATTGTCAAATGTTTCCGTTTCTCCACAAGATATCATTATTTTAAGATTTGTTTAAATGTGCATGATGCTTCGAATAGCTCCTGTAATACTGATTCTCATGGCCATTATACATGAATTGTATATAAGAACATATTCTTTACAATTTATATTGTATGCCAATTTTATTTTGGGGTTAAAATAATAAACTAGACTGAAAATGAGATGTAACATATCAGATGAACAACACAAACCATAAAATGCAAATGTAAGAAAATATCCATTCTTAACTTGCTTTATGACACCAAATCGTCACCGAATCCTTACGTGCCTATTTTGTCGTCTGCCTCTCTCTGTACACGCGTATAACGCGTACATAAAAAAAAAAACCCTAAATGGAACATAAACACTGCACTCAGATTGACAACTCCGCAACAGCCAAGCTTGGAAGGGGTTCGCAAGGCCACGAAGGAAGGTGGTGGTGTTCAGGATTCTGGACAGACCCAGGTTGTGCTGAAGAAAGCTCGGGTTGATCTGGTAGTGCGGGCAAACTGCAAGAACAGCACTGCCCTGGTCAGGCACTCGGTGAAGGAGCGCCAACGCAGGTGAGAAGCACCTGTGTTGTTCCTGGACCAGCGGTTCCCAACCTGCGGTATGCGCAACCAATGGGGGTTTGTCTCGACAATTTGTGGAACTGCGGTGGTTATGTGGGGCATGGTCACGTGGAGGTTCAGAATCAGAATATTTCTACTGGAGGAATCCGATCTGCTATGAAGCTCTTTTCACAGATTTCCAGTATTTTTCACAGATGTCCAGTACTAAGCAGTGCTGCTTTGCGTGCATGCACTAGAATGTACAGTATGTATGTTGAACTTTTGTTCGCAGCGTACATAGCCAACCGTGCTTATCGGAGATGCATTTATAAATACATTCGGAGACCTCTTGCGCTTGGACGCCGTGTCCTTCCATTGGTGCATGCTGGGAGGAGTGTGAACAGCTGATAGCACTGGTAAAGAGGCACACAATGTGATTTATTGACAGGTGAATACTCTCACCTAACACTAAGAAGTACCCTTGACCCTCCTGAGGTTGCCCAGGGAGATGTTTGTGCCACCCCGGTGGCCCCGTGCGACTCGATGGTGTAGGGCCCCATCCCCTTGGGACTCGTTGGGGCACCGGTCGCTTCGTCTGCCTGTAACTTGGCCTCGTTTTTCCTGCGCCGTTCCTCGGTGTGGTTCTCTCCACTCTTTCCGGTGTGGTCATGCCCTCTCGTCCGCCACTTACCATTTTACAGTTACCACGCCTGTTGTCCCTCACTCTTGTAGCGTTTATTCAGATGTTCTCAGAGAGTGATTTTGTTGCGTGTTGTCAGTCTTGTTGTGATTTACGCGACATGTTCGTTCTGAGAGCAGGTTATGCCAAATTAGTTCAAAACACCCGATTTCCACTTTGGCTGAAGGGGGCGAATCAAGCATTGCTGCATCAACATGAACAGCCTGCTGCCTTCGAACACCATAAAGAGACCCGATATGGCCTCTGTATTGGAAGCCGCTGTCTCCTACTTGCACCTTGTCCTACCCCTGGTCTCGGCCCAGCACATGCAGCAGGTGCCGCACACGCGTGCCCACGCACGCACCCGCACACACGGCTTCCTTCTGTACATAAGCATACTGAACTCCTTTCGCACCGTATGTCGCCAACCAGGCTAATCGGAAGTGGCAGTCCTTCACAGCACAACCATGAAAAACCTCCACAGTCATTTAGTGCACGTGCATTTTCAGGAGGATAGAGCCTTCAGCATTGGAGAGAGTGACACGATGAATGAGGAGACATACCCCTGTCCCTGGTAGTTGGATGTTCCCCGTGAAGTCGTAAAAGTGGTGGTTCAGGGGCCTCGCACTCGATGCGCCCATCACTTGACAGCTGTGACTATCGCTGGTCTGCAGCCAAGCTGTCAAAGGCGGGCCCTGCCGACACTTGAGAATTCGACGTTTAACGATGCATATGTTCTTCGATTTGAAATCGATTATTCTGCTCGCGGTACTGTACGTGAATTTTGGAGTGTAAGAATCGATTGTTTGAAGTTTATGTAAATCGTTTGCTAGTGTTCCATTTAGACGAATGGACGAAATTAAACGGAACACGCAAGACATTTACACCAGGGCCACTGGCAGAGCCAGTGGGGGGGAGGATGGGGTGGCACGTGCCCCCCCCCCCCCTCCCAATGATTCGATCGAAATCCCTAATTTCGATCGGATCATTGGGGTTTATTAGTAATAAATCGGCATTTTGCGACCCCCCCCACTGCCACTGTGTAGCATATTATTATGTGCCAGGGACTCTATAAGATGATAGGACAATAGTCTGAGTCCATAATTGGCAATAAGTAACGGCAAAGCGGTTATAAGTGACTCATAGAAGTGTGCGCAGTTGCGTATCCAGACCACAACTTCCCTGAAGGCATCAACACCTTCAGAAAGCACGATGCCGATCGCACAACATGGTTCGAATTCGACCCTCAATCGATGGTTGCGCCATCGCCGCACACGTGTCGAATAAAAGCAAGGGACAAGTCCTTACTTAGGAACAACTTCTCTATCATTTTTCATTGCTGGAGCGGTTGCCCCCCCTACCTGAAAATCCTGGCTCCGCCATTGACCAGGGCCCTTGCCCAACAATTCGGGAAGTGCGTTTGGGGTAGTTTCCTTGAAAATGCACTTTAACATCTTTCTCAGACCAACATATAGGTCAACTCCGTATAAAATGGTGTCACGTGCTTTGTATCAAGAGCAACATTGTTGTAACAAAAGTAACCATGCCTGCATTTATGCCATGCTGACCTTAATGGGTGCTCACTAACAACACGAGCGTCAACGGTTGATATCGTAAAAAATGTCAGATTTTAGTATTTTTGTTTCTTGCGTATTGCGATGTGTGTTTTTTTAGGCCATTTGTACTCTGTGGTCTTAAATTACTCGCAAATTACTTCATTGCAAAGCCACAGCAGCATTCCGCCTCGTGGCAACTTTCTGACCTGTGCTGCATTCACCTTGAGTCTCGCAGGGGGACAGCTGCCACCGGAGGTCGCCTGCCTGAGGCCGGTGTGCGCGATAGGAATATTAAGTGGTGATGATGATGTCTTGAGGTTTTCATAGATGGATTGTGTCGCAATGTCGTCAACATTTGTTTTCCGCCGTTTGCGAATTGTTATCTGCAGTTTGCTGATTACCTGCAGAGCAATAAGAACTACCACCGGGTGACCAAACTGCCAAAGGCACAAAAGGACCTGTGGCCCAAGAGCATTCACGCACTGCAGCCAGCCCCGCCATCAAGGTCCTTTTTGTTTTAACACGTAGTAGGCTTTCGTGACCAATATGATCTGTAATATAGGTAAATGTGTCGTTAAACCCACAAATGAATTGGCATGTTCTGTTTACGTGACAAACCTTACTAATTGGCTGTGTCGGGTGGTGGCGTGTTTAACGACACATTTATATTTACACGATCTAACACAAAAAAACCTACATTATGGAAGGTCCTTTTTGTTGTCTATATTCATTATTTTCCTGCCTATTAAGTCTCTCAAGTCTCCTTTTTATTCTGTCCGTGCATTTGCCATCATGATCATCGCTCTGTCATTAATGCTACACGACAACGTATAATTAGTTTGATTACAATAAAGTATTGCTTTTTTTCATTGACATGGGACCCCATCGCTCCGATGGAGGCACTTTTGCCAATGACCTCTGGCATTCTCGGCAAGCATGTGTCTAACAAGCTGGATTCTGCTGGTGAGACCCATAAGGTCGAAACCAATGCAGAGATTCCTTGCTGAGAAAAAACGCTCATGTATTTGGAAAGCCAATAAGCCGATGGACTAAAACATATGCTTGTGATTTTCTCCAGTGTTTATCCATTTGTGTTCTGCAGTAAACTAAGTATGCAATGATGATGGCAGTTGCATTCATTTACACGATAAGCATTGTGACAGAGAAAATTATTTTCTAATGAGCTTGTGTCTAATGTGTGGTTTAATTAATGAGTCGTGTTTTTTATCTAACATTTACTTTTCAATATCTTACGGTATCATGGCTATTGAATCATCATTGAGAAGTAGTAGTAATAAGAGTACATTTTGCGTCACATGTAGTTCAGCGTGATGTCCAACGATTTTCTCCCAACATAACTGCCAAGACATTATATAGAAGGAGTACAAATCTTTTTTTTTCACAAGCATGATTAATCTGCAACCCAGACAATCCGCTCACAGATAATTGAGAGTTGACCGTATAAGTATAGTTTATAGCAATGTCATGAAAATCTAAATTGTATGTCAGTCCATCGTCTTGTCTCTAGGACAGAGAAACCCAGCAAGCAGTTTCCTGGACGAGCTCAACCTGGTGATGAGATGGACGCGAGGCCAAGTCACGAAACGCAAAGGTCCGTATAAAACAACGTAACCTAAACTAATCGCTCAACCAGCCACCCACCCTGTGCTCAACGTCCCATTCAAAGAGATCAAGTCCCAGCATTCATGCTATATTCAGAGGCTGAAGACAATGGTTGCCACCTCCTGAGGTACAAAAAATTGGGCCAATATGATAAGAAAATATTTTAAAATTAGAAGACAGGAGAACTACATGTAAATGTTTGGTCATGAGTGGTGCATTATTACACAACTGACGAAAAATAGGAGTTTAATGTCCTGGGAGGACTTGCAGATTCCCAAATAAAACTGCCTCAAATGGAGAATATCCTGGGATTAACGGGATAGGTACCAACTCTGCTGATGGAAACACTGCACAATTAGCATTAAACACTGCCTTATAACTGAAAACATTAACATAGTCTTGGGCAGTGACTTTTCTTTTTATTGTCCGAATATATTACACATTTCAACAATTCGTAATCTGCAACCTCTTGATGTGATGAATCGTCACGATTTGGATTCAAGAATGATGATTTCTTTTATTGTGGTAAATGTATGCCAATTACAAAGGATACTAAAGCAATTTAGAGCACATATTACAAACAAATAGAAAGTAACTGATTCTTACTCGCATGATACTGTGTATATTTAGCGTGATTACTGATTTTTATCGATAAATCAATGCATTATTCATTATCTTCATCCACAATCAACTGCTGGATGAAGGCCTCATCGTTACGTGCCACAATACAGCTCCCACTGCAGAATCCTTTTGCAAGAGTTGGTCGTTGCATGCAATTAGTTTATTTGGACTATGCATGTTGAAAATAATTACATCATTGTGTTCATCCACTGCTGGATGAAGGCCTCCCAACACCTTATCAGTCATGTTTTACCAAGCTTCACCAATGATGACCGATGTGGGTTTTGTAAAGTGGTGCCCAGAAATGGGAGAGATTTTGCTCGCCATCAATGTTATCCGTGGTTGGGAATCGACTTCTTCAAGCCACCGAGTTCATAGCACGGTGTGATAACCACTGCATTACCACTCCCACCCCCTAGACCAAGGGTCGGTACCAAAAATAACAAGAAGAGCCATGTTTTTCGAATTTGGTGGAAAAAAATATTTCAAGAGCCATATGAATAACGTCATGAAGTAATCCGTAAACTGGACTCCCACGGTAAACTGGACTCCCATGGTAAACTGGATTTCCCATGGTAAACTGGATTTCCCATGGTAAAATGGACTCCCATGGTAAACTGGACTCCCTTATGTAGGGATAATTCATTAATCCTGCAATGTGTTCACGAACAGATTATGTGTTTTACAGTTTGTGTGGTGGTCCTGTGATATTGCTGCCTGAGCCACCAATTGCCCACACTTCATTTGCTCTACCGCCCTCTCACAGAGACATCTCCAAACCAACCGGCATCAAACGTAAGTGATCACTGAGATTTTATTGACCAAATAAAACTGCCGTTTAATCCTCTGGCCGGCTGCATCAAATCGTCTTTTGGGATATTCTTTGTAATTTAAATCGGTATTTAGAAGAAAAAAAACCCATCAAACCTGTGCAGCAGAGGGCAGTGTGGAAACCATGCTCCAAATTTGATGCCCTCCACCATTACCAACTAGCATTGTGAAGTATAACTGAACAAACCACGTGACCTGCACGGCATGGGCAGGCTCTTATCCAGCAGTGGATTGACAAAAGAGCTGTACATATATAAGACAAAATAACGTGGTGTTTATGCAACTGCTCACTGGGCCTCATCCATGCAGAGTCCTTTTAAACGAAAACAAAGCAAACTGGCTTTCAGAGTACCTGCGTTTTGATGTTCACGAATTTTCTATCAGCCATGAATAACATAATGTTCTTTGGGTCTTTCGGTAAAGTCACATAGGTAAAAGTAAATAAATAAACTCCCTACAACACAAGCGACCGTCATTTGATGTGTTGCGATCGAAGTGTCGTCGTTTTTTGTATTATTTTTTGAACCCATCTACGTGACTTTACCGAAAGACCCAAAGAATATGAATTCCTACAGTCACGAAAGCTTTAAGTCAAGATGAATAACATTGTTCATGTTTTCTCACAGTAATTCAGCCAAGACCAATTGTTCATCAGACGATGAATCCCACGACGGAAGCGGGGCCAACGTGTTGGCACTCGCATCCCATGCCTTACCAGGCAAGGCCCATTCCGGGCTCCACCACCTGCACCCACCTCCAAGAAAAACACTTATCGTACGACTCGGAGATGTCTGCTTTCGTGCCTGTCTCCTCGGCAGCTCGCAGGGAGTCGACTGCGGTGGCGATGTCATCGTACGCGCCATTTCTGCCATGCGACGTTGGACGCGCAGTGGCACCGTCCTGCTTAACATCTTCATCGTTGTCCTCCGCCGTTCCTTCGGTCGGTTATTATGCCCCAGCACAAAACGAGGTGCTCCGCATGCAGCAAGAGCCGCCTTTCAATGTGCATTTCGGCCTCTCTAACCCGAGACACCTTAATTACGCTGGGGTGGAGCCTGCAAGCCTGGTACCTGCCTGCTCATGCAAGCTACACATCTCTCAGAGCCAGGCAAATGTGGCCTCTGCGGCGAGAGGCATCGCTCCACCCGTCTGTGGTCAGAGCTATGAAACCATGAACGACTACCAACAGGCAGGGGTGCCTGTCAAGAGGGACGCACGGGGCGAGGGGCCCCTGAACTACACGATACACAACCTTCAGGTGGGCCCTGGGCTGTTCAGGATGCCCAGGTGAGACCGGATGTGCGTGTTCAATCACAGGTGAACTGTGTGCAGCCGAATGTGGAAATAACTGTCCAGGAAAACATGCTCTTCAATTAGATTTATTGGGCTGACACTGCTTTGAACACCTTTCAACTCTGGTTTAAAGCGTTTTAAATTAAATGTCTCTGTGAATAACATGAGGGCACTATGACTCTTAATGAGGATGATTCAATATGAACCAAATCGTAGTGTAAAGTTTTTCCTATTAGCAACTTGTGCCATTTGAAAACTGGCCAAAGTAATCTAAGGGTTCCAAAAAAATGGAGACCCTAGCAAAAATGATTTTGAAAATACGAAGATGCATTTTGCCCTGACAGCCATCTGTTGGTTTCCATACTGTGAATTGAATAGTTCCAAACACCAACGCATGTTGGAAAGTGTTACTTAATCCATGAGTATATACATACGTTATCCCTACTTGTTATTGAATACACTTGAGATACCAGAGGAGGTCATGTCTGTGTGTTTACTGTACCTCTTGAGTTCGAGCCTAAAGACGGCCACCAAATATTAAGCCAGGTTTTAAAGTGAAGTACTGCCATGAGGTCACCAATTATTTGCACAATGGTTAAAATGTATACAATGTTACACGGCAAACTACTATTTTTCATTGCACAGAGCATCCAGTGTTGTATGAGAGATGTTTAATGACGTGACACCAGAAGTAGTTCTGTGTTGTCATCGTCCACGACGTAACATTAAGTTCTGCTGATGGTAGTATTCCCATAACATTTATTCAACTCTCGACATAAATTTGGCATGCAGTTTGATGGAAAAATGTAAAACCATTGATGTTTCTCAAGAATCATCTTTTAAAATTAATTATTTTGTTTTACTTTTGCCACTGGCAGCACAACTCCACAGCAGCTGCAGTACCCAGATGGCTCGTCGTCTACTCTGCCCACGGGCGGCCTTGCCACGCTGCTCGACACTCAGCGAAGCCAGGGTAGAGGCGGCGGGGCAGGCCCAAGCAGCAGTCACCTCGAGTGGGACCATGAGGAGTTCATCATGAACCTGCTGTACTCTGAATGAAAGTGACGTCGATTTGCCCTGGAGTTCCATGGGGCCAGAGTGGTGAGACTTTCTGGATCAGTCGGTGGGCAGGGGTTGTGGCCCTTATGCGGTAAGTCTGGTTGTGTTTAGCCCACAGGTTATGTGTACTGCGTGGATGTCCGTCTTAAGCCCAGTGTGCTTTTGTCGGGTGCTACAGTGAAATATTATGATTATTTACATTTACATTTATAGGACGACGAAACGAAACAACAGCTATAAAATGACAGCTAAACACAATATTGTGCTCCAGTGTGTCACTATAGCATGACTGTTGTACTGTTAAATAGTGATATTGGTATAGCACTATGGCTGCATTCCTGAAAATTACTTTTAAGTTTTTCACCAGTGCAGATTGGGGATTCTTGTCATACAGCCAAAAAAAGACCACAAAGGTTTTTGTAACTTTATTTTTAGGTGGCTTTCTTTCTACACGGGCGAGTTCATAAACACCGACTGTTTCTTGAGAGCAGACCGAAGTGGCCAAAAACGAGGGTCGCTTTGACCTGTACTGCATAATTTGAGCGTCTTTGTTCCGTAAAGGTCACAGGGACTACGAAGGTTGAGTGTCCCTTGACCACCAAAGTAGATGTTTGTCTTCTTCGTATGTATTTGAAAAGAGGTCTTGTTATAATAGAAGAGCGTTTGTTGACTTGAGCTGGATGGTGGGGGCCTTCAGAACCGAAGTTTAACAGTTACTGGATTCATTGAGCAATTGACTGAGCACTTGACAGAGTAATCACCATTTGGGGTTGATGCAGTTGGGGGCCTAGGCCACATTTCTTTTGTTGCGATTCCATTTTCTTGTTGAGCAAGTGGCAACACAATGTAACATTTACATAAAAATGTTGTTACAATTCATGTTGATTTGTTTATTGTATTGTATAGAAGCACAGACGAAATGGTGCAGTTTCTAATTTTACCTCGTCATATGTAATCATTTTTTTGAAATTGCCAAAAGTCTTTAAATGATGCTGTTACATGATTTGTCAAGGAATGTACATGTATGTGATGCTTTTCGCATCATGATAAAAATGAAATATTAACTTCATACTATCATAACGTTCAAATGCAGTTTTTTGTGTTTAATATTACAATTTCTCGTAAACAAGCTTGTAACAAAATATACAACTTTGGCAAAATTACTTTAATAAATGCAGCAGTAAAATCAAAGCTGGAATTGTAATATGCGTTTGTTGCATAATGCCATTGTGAAAACTACATTCTTCATATTATTTCCAACTGTATAGACAACAATTTCAATGCAGTCAAAGCTATGTTGTATTGTCATGTTCAGCGTTTTACTTAGGATACTTTTAAATTAACTTTCTGCACTTTTGACTTCCCATAAGCTTCAACGTGTCCATGGTAAGTTTCTCTAAAATATACAACGGATAGATACTGTGGGAGATCGAGGGTTGAACAAGGCAGAGCTTGAGGATTTCCGATGTCCTTCCAGTAGACCTACAACTGCCAGTCAAAATGACAATGCCTAATTTTAAGAACTGAAAAGATAATCATTGGTGCTGTGAAGGCATGTACTAGCCTAGACTTAAAGGGAAGCTCAGCTGAACAATTTTGAACAGTCCCCCCATCTGTCCTTTACAGTCGAGGGCCGAGTTGGACAGTAGGCTGTGACTATTATACATTGACATTGCATTGTTGATAACTCAAATATAGCTAACGGGAATCAATTTCTGCAATATAACCACTGCCGAGTGGACTTTTTTTCTTTAGGGCAGCAGAAAACCCCATCACAAGACCACAATCCCAGTGGTGTTTTAAAGATGAGGCCATGTAGCACAAGGGTGGCATTTGCGGCGAGGTCTGGAGGCTGTGATCAGCGGGAAGTGAAATGCCTTTTTTATGTAGAATTGAAAAACTCCGTGAGGGTGTTAAGCTCGTAGTTGTCGAGCTCCTCCAACAGCATGGGCACCCGACTCTTCACGTTCGTCCCCTTGAACTTGAATTTGTCGATGAACAGATCCGTTATCATACCTGCGGCCATGGTTAGAAAAGAAACAAGATGCTTAAGTTTCTTATTCCGAAGCAATATCAACTGTTTTTCCTGTAACACGTATGTAAGCACTTTGTGAATTGATTTCTGTGTCAATAATGTACTGCACCTAAACTTTGCTATTCACGGCTGCCATTACCATAGAGACGTTCCAGATGGGATGGCTGCTTCTTGAACTCCTCTTGCAGAGAGTCAGCCTCGAGCAGGATAGCACGGTACTCCGCAATCAGGAAATCCATGTTCCCCTCATGCACCTGTAGTTCCTGTTGTCAATGATAGATACAAGGGGAAAACCTTTCTGCATCGAACCTTGCTTCCAAAACCGCAAAAGGATGCTTGGATATGGTCTCAAAAAAAAACTTCAGTCGTCAGGCTCCACTGAAAATCTTCATATTAATGTCTGCCAATCATTTGTTTTTGTATTGCCAACACATCCAGGCTGTACTGCTGCGTTAATACGCAGACTGGAGCTATTACCTAATACAGAACCCGCTGTAAGTAGCACATCATCACTCAGTGGCATTCTTACTGTCACCAGATGCGTAGGGTTCTGGCCTGTGGCTGGCTTACCTTGAGGGCATCTATAAGCTGTACTTTCTTGGCAAGCATCAGTTGGTGTTCCAGCTTGGGGTGGATGAGCTGCAGCGTGTGTCCAATTGAGTCCTCGTTCATGTCTGCCACACGCCATGAATGGGATTAGTGGTGCATTCAGAGTTTTTATATGTTGGTTGGCAATGGACAGCGTGGATCGGTGTCATAAAACGGGAATGTTAAAACATTAACCCACCCACGTGTAAGGATTTTTATGAGCGTACAAGGACACCAAAGGTGTGACACCTTCACCACCACCACCACCACCACCACCACCTTATTAGGAGAATTCAAGATAAAGTCACGTAGAAGAAAAACAATAAAATTATAAAAATATAAAACAATAACATTCTCACGACGTTTCGACTGCAACACAAGCAATCCTCACCTGGTGTGAAAAACGGCAAGAAATTTTTGAAAAAAGTGGCGTTTTTTTCTTAACGTTAAGAAAAAACCGCCACTTTTTTCTAATTTTCTTGCTGTGTTTTTCACACCTGATGATGATTGCTTGTGTTGCAGTCAAAACGTCGTGAGAATTTTATTGCTTTATATTTTTATTATTTTATTGTTTCCCTTCTACGTGACTTTACGGAAAAAACCAAGAATATGAATCCCTGCAGTCACGAAAGCTTTAAATCAAAATTCAAGATAAATTATGTACTTGTGTTTAACTGCATTAAAAGTAAAGGGATACATGACAGCGGTTGATTGCTATTCAATAGATTGTGTCAGAATTAGTGGCTTATTTCAGACATTTGACAGCTTTTTGAAGCATCACACTTATCAGCCATGTTCAGTCCACTGCCAGATGGAGGCTTCACCACATCATCGCCCCACTCCCCATGGTCCCGTAATGCACTTTGCTCCTGTACATGAGCTAATCTCATTATTCCCTCTACACAGTGGTCAGCCTATTGTGCATGATATTCCACTGGCTGCCAATCTTATCACCAGCCTCATTCATTGGACATCATGCATTTTAGTGATGTGTCCTGTCCAAGCCCACTTAACTTTCCTTAGCAGTCAATATGATGTCTCTTGGATTTAACAACAGTGTATGTTACTATGCCTGTACTTTGCTGAAGGTTAAATCTGGCCACTTGGCATCAATCTCACCGTAGGAGATGTTGAGGTTATTTTCCTCTTTGTGGCCTCCTTAGTGAGAATGTCCTTGAGGATGGAGATAGTAGAGATGTTGTCGGACCTGAACACCCCCTCTCCTTTCCTGTAGAGGATAATGTGCATTGTTTTCCATTCAGTTATTAATTCGTATCCTTTATTTGATCCAGCACTTTTCCATTGAGATAACCTCTGATTTTCACGTTTAGCTGCGTACGGTGCGTAAGAAGTTCAACGTAATAACATTTTAAAAGGAAAACTGGGATATAGCACCAAGAAAAATATGAAAAAGTTAAGGGAATCTTACATTTAATGTAACTTAAGAAAACCCCCAACACTGCCAGAGGTCACAGGAGAGACTGTTTATTTTGAAGCTTTTTCCCCACGTAAAATGTGCCCACTTGCTGCCAGATTTGATGGGTGCTGATTGCCTGGTGACAATCATTAATCACAATGCACAGGTCTTGTACAAGTCGTTCAACAGAATAACAAATTAAGAAAAAATCTAAAAGCCGCCAGCTGCCACCCGTTGTTACCTGTAAACACACTCCAGCTGTGTTTCCAGGAAGGTGTTTTGGAAGTAGTACGTGACGCTGTCCCCCACTGGAGCCTTTTCAGGGAGCTCGGGCAGGCAGAACACCACCCACGAGTGTATTTCCGCACAGCTGAACTGGCCCGTCAGTGACAGCGTGTTCATCGGCCTGAAAAAAGACGCAATGCTGTATGCCACAATTGGTCCTTCCTGTACTTTGTCGAGCACAGCTATGAACATGGAAAATTGGGATAAAGCTAGATTTGAAGCTTTCGTGACTGCAAGGATTCATATTCTTAGGGTTTTTCAGTAAAGTCACGTAGGTAAAAAATTAAAATTATATTATTTTATTTTTATTTTACTTTTATGAATTAAAAATTTTTACCTACGTGACTTTACCGAAAAAACCTAATAATATGGGATAAAGCTACCTGAAAATGTACTGAAACGTGTTCTAAACTGTTGTATCATAGGTGAATATAGCCTTTGCGTGCAAACTATGATTCATGTTCCGGCACAATGCACAAACTTGTACATATACAAATAGTAATGCAATTAGCTGTCATGTTGGTAAATATAGAGCAGAGGTAACCCTTCTGTTTGTTTTAACGGTGTAGTTAACCGCATGGTAACACCATATGTAAGGGTCAAGGTACCTACCGCAAATACCACGCCCACATTTCTATCAAAGTGGCGCCGCCAGTCCCATGCAATGTGGGTCATAAACTCTCTTCGATCACTCTGCGTAATAAGAATGTAGTGCATCATGTTTTTTTTATTGTGGGGCTGACCGGCTGGCGTCGATGGTGTGCACGCGCTGGTGCAGCGACAGCGGCTTGATAAGGTACTGCCGCACCTGGCAGGTCTTGGGCTGCAGGCGTGGCGTGATGTAAGCCTGCAGCGTGCCGTACTGGCCCTCGATGGAGCGGATCTGTGCACCGTGACCGTCGCAGTGATCACAGGTGTGCCTTGTGTGTGTCTAAAA